CGCGGAAGAAAAAATCGTGCGCGCCAAAGTTCAAGGCGAAAAATTAGAAGCCTGCGAAACGTGTCTAAAGGGGAAGTTAACCAGCACACCCTTTCCGAAGAAGTCAACTCCAAGTGAAGAACTGTTGCACATAATCCACACGGACATCTGCGGTCCCATGAGGAAAAATTCCCTGGGAGGAGCAAAATATTTTGCAACATTCGTTGACGACAGCACTGGTTGGGGAGAGGTATATTTCCTGAAACAAAAGAGCGACGTGTTACCAGTCTTCAAAAACTTCAAAGCGATGGCCGAAACTCAAACCGGTAAGAAGATAAAATTTGTACAGTCCGACAACGGACGTGAATATTGTAGTCAAGAATTCGATACCTTTTTAGAGTCCTGCGGAATTCAACGAAGGCTAACGGTTGCATATACGCCACAGCAGAATGGAGTGGCGGAGAGGCGAAATCGCACCTTACTCGAAATGGCGAGATGCATGCTGATTCAAGCAAATCTGTCGTCCTGTTTTTGGGCCGAAGCGATCGCCACAGCCAACCACGTTAGAAACCGATGTCCTTCTGCCAGAATCCAAGGCCAAATTCCATTCGAACTTTGGATGGGCGAAAAACCAAATATCTCCTACTTCAGAATATTTGGATGCAGGGCATTCGCACTGGACAAGTCGCCCGGTAAGGGAAAATTCGATGCTCGATCGAAGGAATGTATTTTCGTGGGATATTCCAAGGAAGCCAAGGCCTACCGAGTTTGGATACCAGACGAACGCAAGATCCTGGTTTCCCGTGATGTAGTGTTTCTCAAAGATTTTGGAACAAGTTTAGAGTTCGAAGACTTCATGCCAGCGGATCTCGACACGAAAACAAATATTATAAGAGATACGAAAAAGCAATCACACGAAATGGAAATCTCTCTGACACCCCATCCACAACAAGGGGGAGCCTTGAGAGAGCGCCTTGATGATCCCGAGGAATTTGGAGAAAATCAAGGAGTCCCGGAAAATCCCATCGTCGATGAAAGAGAAGAATTGCCAACCAGGATCGGTCGAGGTCGCCCGAGTCTAATCAGGACAGGAAGAAGAGGAAGGCCAAAAAAGGAATTCCATTATGTCAACGTCGAAAATGTCAATGATGATCAACAACCGGACACCGAAGACGACGAAAACGATACCGAAATAGCCGGCATCACTGCTGAAATTTCCATAAAAAATGCCCTATCCGGCGAGGATGCAGAGCAGTGGAAGCTGGCCATACAAGACGAATATAAATCACTCATCGAGAACGACACATTCGAGGTACATGATCGTCCGAAGGATCACAACGTCATAGGGAACCGCATGGTCCTCAGAAATAAATTCGGTGTTGATGGAGAACTCACGAGAAGAAAGGCAAGACTAGTTGCCAGAGGCTTCAGTCAAAAACCCGGAATCGATTTTAATGAGACCTTCGCGCCCGTAGCTCGATTAACCTCGATAAGGACAGTGATCGCCATAGCTGTGGAACAAGACTTGATGATACATCAACTCGACGTGGCCACTGCCTATTTAAATGGAAGGCTGGACGAAGATATATTCATGACGCTGCCGAACTTCTTCGAGGAGACGCTATCTCGAATACTTAGCTCAAAAACTCTCAAACCCGATCACGAAGAAAAAGTCACGAAGATGCTCCAAGAAATCAAACAAGGAGACAAGGTGTTAAAGATTAAACGCTCACTTTACGGCCTGAAGCAAGCGGGCCGTCAATGGCACAAGAGATTGGATAAAGTTATGAAGAACTTAGGATTAAAACCTCTTGAATCTGATCCTTGCGTGTACATCGCCAAATCAGGGGACGACCTGATGATCATCGTCGTTTACGTGGACGACATGCTGCTATCTACGAACAATTCCAACTGGATGACGAAAATAAAACGAGATCTATCAAGAGAATTTCAAATAACGGATCTAGGTGAGATCAGTCATTGCTTAGGAATGGACTTTGTTCGAGATGGATCCGAAATTCGCATCACGCAGAAGGAGTACATCGAAAACCTGCTGAATCGCTTCGGAATGCAAGACTCCAAGGCTGTTTCAACTCCGTTGGATCCGAGCAACAAATTGATCAAACCAGAAAATATCTCAAAGGAACAAATGGATTTATATCCATATCGCGAACTTATAGGCTCACTCATGTACCTATCTATCGGGACACGCCCGGACATCACGTTCGCCGTAAACTTCTTGAGCCAATTCAATACCTGTTATTCTCAAGATCATTGGGTAGCTGGAAAAAGAATCCTGAGGTACTTAAAAGGAACCATCACCAGCGGAATCAAATTTTCAAAGAAGGGAAAGGAATTGGAAGGCTTCACGGATGCGGATTGGGGGTCATGCTTGGACGATAGACACTCGTACACAGGGTACGCTTTCATCTTAGCCGGAGCAGCCATAAGTTGGGAAGCCAAGAAGCAAAGAACCATTGCATTGTCCACAATGCAGTCGGAGTATATGTCGCTTACCGAAGCTGCAAAAGAAGCGATATACATTCGAAGATTCATGGAAGAAGTCGGTTTTCAATTAAAGGGACCGACGACGATCTACTGCGATAATCAGGCTGCCGATAAACTAGCCAGAAATCCTGTCTTTCACTCTCGCTCGAAGCACATCGACATACGATACCACTTCATCAGATCTGCGTTGAAGGAAGGACATGTGGACATCAAATACATAGCTTCAGAAGAAAACTCCGCCGACGTGCTTACCAAAGGATTGGCAGGGAGCAAACATGCAAATCATCGATCAGGACTAGGAGTCATTCCCATTGAAAGGAAACCTAATGTGCCTCACGTTTGAGGGGGAGTGTTAAAATTACTGTTCTTTATTTGTTCACCCGTGGGCACATTTCGTATACTTACAAAATGCCCTTCGGGCTTCATCGACTATCTTCGATACTAGTCGTGTTTCATTGGATACGTCCATTACAGTTCGTTACCGACCTTCTCTCATGTCGGACAAGCCTCATGTATCTTATTGAATATATTTCAAGTTCATAATATATAATTGAGTTTTATTCACTGGTTCACATCCTCTATCATCAACAGAAAATCATTGAATTCTTGTAAAGTATTTATAAAAAAAATTTCAAAATAATGGAATTAATTTCAAGAATTTTATCAACATTTTTTTCAATAATTGAATTCTTTTTCGAGAAAATATAATTAAAAGAATATAATTAAAAACTTTTGAAAACAATTGAATTATTTAGAAAAATTTAATTACAATTTTTAAAAATAGTTGAAACTGTCAGAGAAATTTTATTAAAATTATCTTGAATATAATTGAATTTTTTCCTAAGAATTTTATTAAAATTTTATTGAAAATAATTAAATTTCTCAGAAGAATTTTATTATTTACAAAAATAATTGAATTCTTGCCAAGAATTTTACAATTTATAAAAATTAATTGAATTGTTTCGAAGAATTTTTTAATCATAGAATTGTTGAAAATAATTGAATTTAAATAATATTTTTAAAAATAATTGTATTCTTTCAAGAAATTTTATTAAAATTGTATTGAAAATAATTGAATTCCTTTGTAGAATTTTATTATTTATGAAAACATTTTAATTCTTGCGAAGAATTTTCTTATTTATGAAAATAATGAAATTCTTGCGGAGGATTTTACAATTCATAAAAAGAATTTAATTGCTCCGATGGATTTTATCTGAATTATTGAAAATAATTGAATTTTTTGAAGGAATTTTATTAAAAATTTTTAAAAATAATTATTTTCTTAAAAGATTTTTAAAATATTTTCATCAAAACTGTTGAAAATAATTCAATTTATATATTAAAATGTTTGTAAATAATCGAATTTAATTTTTTTTTAAATAATTGTATTCTTTCGAGAAATTGTATTAAAATTGTATTGAAAATAATAGAAATACTCTAGAGAATTTTATTATCCATGAGAATAATGAAATTCTTCCAACAAATTTTATTAAAATTTTTGAATAATAATAAAGAAGAATATTTTTTTTATTAAAATAATTTTTTTCATATTTTCTGTACAATAAGAAATAATTTTCGAAAAAAAATTGAAAATTAAAAATTATAAATAAGCGATATAAAATAATTATTTTAGATTAAAAAAAAAATTAATAAAAACTAATGTAGACGAAAAGAATATTCATTGTATGAATTTTAATTTTAGCGTGTCTATTTTTTGCGTGTGTAATATTTTATTCTATTGATTTAATTTCGTGTCGATAATTTACGAGAGAAATTATACGTTTCAATTACAATTAGGTTCGGGGGGGGGGGGGATAGCGTTTAAAATATGAAAAGGGCAAGAAGAGGGATGACAAACCCGGAAATTATTTGATACTTCAAAGAAGCGGGGTTTCACGGTCGATAGAACGTGGATTTCGAACAGGTATCGGTAGTAGTAGACTATATACAACATTTATACATTACCTGCAATTAGATCCATTTCAATGCCACAGTTAATGTCATGGTCGATGTGCAGGGTGCGGTTTTTTTCAGAAATTCGCACAACTCATTTCCATTGATTTTTCTTATTTCGAAATAAAAACAAAATTTTCGCTTTTGTGCTCGAAAAAATAGTTTTTGAATTTTTTGTTTTCTTTTTTCAATTTTTTATTTAAATATCTTAATAATGTACGAAAATATTATGGCAATTGAGAAATAGTAATTTTTTAATTCCTATAATATTTTAACGAATAGTTTTCATTTTTCTTGAAGAAAAGAAAAAAATCTTTTTCTGAAAAGTACTGAAGGAATCAGCCATTAAATAAGATTAATCTATTAATTACTGTCATATTTTAAAGAATAGTTTCCAGTTTTCTTGAAGGAAAGGCAAAAACTTTTTCCAAAAAAAATTCTGAAGGAATCATCAATTAAGAAATAAATATTAATTTATTAATTACTATATATTGTTTTTAATACTTAAAAATAATGATATCTTTTGGTCCAAGTATTAATTTTGATTTTTGATTTGACAGTACGGACAGTGGATGGGACAATCCATTTAGGCCCGATGGGGACCTGTCGAGAGAGGCAGACGAAATAGTGGAATTAATAAAAGGTGGTAAGCCGATAACTCCAACGCCAGGACAAAATGCGCCGCCCTTGCCAGGATGCGAACGAAAGGACGAACACGACTCGAGTACGAGTCCCCTTTTGGACTCGACGAGGCAAGGAAATGGAAACGCTCACAGCACTCCCATGAAAAATAACCAGCAGCCCGTCAACGAGAAGGTTCCTATCCCAATTTAAACCCTAATTAACTTTCATACAATCTCGAAAATTGAGGAAGTACACACTGTTTTTTTTCATTTTTCATTTTCACGAGAATAAACAAAACAAAAATATATTAATTTTGAGTCTTGTTAATTAATTCAAATGCTTAATAATCGTTGTATTCCGGAAAGGATTTTTTGTTAAAAATTGTTATGATTTTTATAAATTTAATTTTGAATCTCAAATATGTAATTTAATTCTTGCATAGAATTTTATTCACATTTTTTTGAAAATTGAATTACGAAAAAAATATTTTACACTAATTTTTGTTAAATCATAAATAAAAATATTTTTTTTTTATTTTTTTGTGACAATATTGTAGCGTTATCTTTAAAAAATATATGTACTTATTAAAAAATGGTTTTCGTTGAATAACGTTGTAGACTTCAAATTCATTCCAATTTTTAAAAAGAATTTTATCAACATTTTTGAAATTGAATTCTTTTGTAAAATTTTCTAAAAATTCTTAAAAATTGTCAACATTTTTGAAAATAATTGAATTCTGGCGAAAAATTTTATTAAAATTCTTGAAAATAATTGCATTTCTGTGTATTAGGTATTTATAGAAATAATTGAATTTTGGTGGAGAATTTTATTTAAATTTTTGAAAATTAAATTATTTTGAAGAATTTTATTTTATTAAATTAATTGAATTCTTGCAGCGAATTTTATTCAAATTTCATATTAAATTCTTTCAAAGAATAAAATTAAAATTGTATTAAAAATAGTTGAATTCTTTTAAAGAATTTTAGGAAATATTCGAAAATAATTTAACTCTATCGGAAGAATTACATTAAAATTAAAAAAAATTAAAAATATTATTAAAATTCTGAAAAAGAATTGAATTTCTGTGGAAAATTTTATTATTTATGAAAATAATTGAATTTTTTTAAAGATTTTTATTAAAATTATATTGAAAATAATTGAATTTCTCAGAGGAATTATATTATTTACAAAAATAATTGAATTCTTGTCAAGAATTTTACAATTTATAAAAATAATTGAATTGTTTCGAAGAATTTTTTATCAGAATTGTTGAAAATAATGAAATTCTTATATTTATTAAATAATTAAATTTTTTCGAAGGAATAAAATTAAAATTTTCTTAAAAATAATTTAATTCTTTTAAAGAATTTTAGGAAATATTCGAAAATAATTTAACTCTATGGAAGAATTATATTAAAATTTTAAAAAATTAAAAATATTATTAAAATTCTGAAAAATAATTGAATTTCGGTGGAAAAATTTATTATTTACGAAAATAATTGAATTTTTTCAAAGATTTTTATTAAAATTATATTGAAAATTGAATTCTTTTAAACAATTTCATTATTTATGAAAATAATTTTGGAAAAAATTGAATTCTTTTAAAGAATTTGATTTTTTATGGAAGTAATTGATTTGTTTCGAAAAATTTCATTTAAATTGAAATAAAAATTGAATTCCGGCGAAAAATTTTATTATTTATTAAAATAATTGAATTTTTTCGAAGATTTTTCTTAAAATTTTAGAAGATAATTATATTCTGTGGAAGAATTTTATTTAAATTGTAATGAAAATTTAATTTCTGCAGAGAACTTAATTATTTAGTAAAATAATTGAATTTTTTCAAAGATTTTTATTACAATTGTATTAAAAATTGAATGCTTGTAAAAAAAATTTATTATTTTAAAAATAATTGAATTCTTGCGAAAATTTTTTTTCTATTTTTGAAAAAAAATTGAATTCTTTGCAAGTGTTTTATTATGTATGAAAATAATTGAATGGTTTCTAAGAATTTTATTTAAATTACAATGAAAATAGAATCCCTGCGCTAAATTTTACTATTTACAAAAATAAATGAATTCTTGAGAAGATTTTTATTAAAGTTTTTGTAAATAATTTTTGTAATAATTTATTAAAAATTGATACAGAAATTCAAATATAATGATAAAAAAAATTTGTCTTACAAGAAATTATTATTTATTATTCAATTTCGAGATTATTTTTAAAAAATTGAAAAACCCCTTTTTGTGAAATATAAAGAAAATTAAATTGTATATTTTTTTCCAGGTGGGCTCGACAACAAGTGCAACAGTGGAAGTGGGCAGGTTGACGGCACAGGGTCCCGGTGATGCGTCGCAAGTTGAACACGTGACCCTGAAGAAAAAGCCGAAATGCAAATGTTGCGTTCTTCAGTAACGTGATTGCGAGGAGAGAGATAAGAAATAAAATATAAAAGCACCGAATATGTCTCTAATCGAGATTCAATTACTTTGAATCGTCGTCAATTGTAAATGCAGCCGTATATTTTCCAGACTGACTCTGACAGACTGAAAAGAAAGGCTCTCGTCGTCCTCAAAAAAAAAATTTTCCAAAGCGAGGACCAAAAAAAAAAAAGAAAAATCCCAATGATAATTGGGAAACGAGAGAAGAAGGGAAAAAGAGAAGAAGAGAGGGGCATGAAAAGCGTATCGCTTCCGGGTCCATGACCGCAGACGTTCTAATCGGCGTCCTGTCGCCGTCACTCGCAAAAATGTCTCTCTAAAAATCACAAAATCTTTCTCCTCCACTAGAAATCAATGAAGAAAATATGAAGAGAAGAAAAAAAGAGAAGTGCTTTTTTTATTTTTAATTTATTCTCGAAATGAAAATTTTATTCTCGAATAGTGAATTTTAGAATTCGTTTACGATAGAAAATCGTCTACAATTCCAATGAAGCAATTAAAATAAAAAAAGACTCTCTTTTTAAAAGTGATATCCGGAGAGAAGAAAAAAAATATATTTGAAAATATATTGTAGATACAGAATAGTAGCTATCTAGCTTAATATGCTTTTATTATCGTGGTTATTATCGTTAAGATATTATCGTGACTAAAAGCCAGAAGAAAATACCAAAGTCAACAAAATTTATCCCAAAAAAAAATTTTTTCTCCTCCTAACAAATTTATTGACTTGGCTATTTTCTTCTGCAATTCTGGAAAGCTCGTATATCTTCGAAAGAGATAATAAAAAAAACTCACTCGCACTTTGTGCAGCTAACGAACGTAAATTTTCAGGATTTTGGAGAAGTGATCATTAAAAGAAAAAGAATTGTAAATATTTTGAAATTTCTCGTGAAACAAGCACGAGAATTGTGATGTCAAAATGGGGACAAAATGGAAAACACGACAAAAAGAAAAAGAATGCCGATAATTTTTTAAGAATTCGTGAAAATAATCTTTAGAACTATATCGGCACTCTTTTTTTCAGACTCTTATTTCCGGTTTTGCTGCTAGTGCACAAACTAATTGTAAAATGCATAAGTTTTATGAAGTTTTCGTTGTGATTATTTTATCCACTCACACAATTAATCTAGGGGGAAAAAACAATGCACTTTTATTTATTTTCCGAGTAGAATTTCTCATAAAATAGATTCATGTGCAAGTTCCGCGATTAGATTCTTTTCAGAAAAAAAATTCTTTTTTCCGTTTTTTTCAAACTTAAAAAAAATGTTTTCCTTTTTATTGGTTTTTTTTAATCACGAGGACACTTTGGCTAATGTAGCGAGTCAATGTACTATAAGAAAAATACATATTATTGTAAGTAATTATATAAAATCCTGAATATTTACTGACTATGAAAAAAGAAAAATCGTGGTGAAAATTCTTATTCGATGAGAAGAGCGAGATCTTTACCAATTTCAATAGAAATTTTTATTAAGAGAAAAACGTTTATTAAAGAAAACGTTTTTTAACTGAAAAAAAACAATTTTTCGTCTTGTTCCGAAAAAAAGTTCCTTTTTTTTATCGTCACTTGTATTCTTCGGTAAAAAGGAAAAACTTCGCCGTAATCGTTTTTACTCTGGGTTATCACTGTCCACTAGAATTATGAAAAAAAAAAAATGAAAATTACTAGATAGAGAAATAGAAAATTTTTTGAAAAAAGAATCCGGTAACCCTGAATTTTTATCTCGCTTTGCAATGCATTACTTTTCATTAATGTCTTTTCTCGATGTTAATTCGAAGCAATTTTGAGAATTTAATTTATTGTATTTAAAATGTTTTTAAAAATTCTTTTTAATGATTTTGAAATATTTTAAAATAATTTTAAATGTTTTCAACTGATTTTTAATGTTTTTACTTTTTTTGAATCGTTTTTAAACTTTTGTCAAACGCTTTTTTGAAATTAAGTTTGAATTAATTTGTAATTTATTTATGTATTACTACTTTTGTTGTATTACTATTTTAAATGTGTTTTAAATTATTGAAGAATAATAAATTTTTAAGGCCTTTCTTTGTAGTTACAAAAATTATATTTTTTCGCACGTTTCAACTGAAAAGTAAAGGTTTTTAAAATTTATTATCAAAAAATGTAAACTTCTTAATTATTTATTAATCGAATTAAATTTAAGAAAAATTGTATTTGTGTAAAAATTTATAGTTCGCAAGAATTTTAGACTCTTAGATATCTAGACTTAAAATATATTTTTAATCTTTACAAATTATTTATATTTTATTTTTTTAATCAAAAATTGTTTCAAATCTTTGAAATCAATTATCAAAACAAATGAATTAAAAAATTCCTTAAACGGAATGACATTGGAATTAGGTAGAAAAGAAATAATTTCGAATAAAATAATTTCAAACGAAAATTTCGAAAGAAAGAATTACAATATTAATTAATAGGAAAAAATTAATTTTAATCGATTTTAATTTATTTTACATGATTTTAATTGATTTTAAGGCAAATAAACGAGAAGATATTAACGAAAAGAATTGCGTATTAATTAATAATAGTCACTTTCCCTCCGATTGTGAAGGGAAAGATTATAAAAAAAACCGCGCTTGCCCAAGTTTTTCACGCTAAACTTAGGGATTTAAAGTTCGATCGGCTCGATTTGCATTTTTCGAATCTTCGATGACTCTGTGTTTTTTATACGAAGCAACTTATCGCGAAAGGAATTTTAGCACGAGAATCCAGAAAAAAAATCAAACATTTTTTTACCGCCAATATCTGCATTATATTCTATTTACAAAAAAAACGTCGATGTTAGATTTTCAACTTTTTAAACAAAAAAAAATATGAAAAAAATAGATGTTTTTTTGTTATTAGTCAGTTTCGTTCTTTTTTTTAAGGAAAAAAGAAAAAGAGAGAGAGAAAGAGAAGAAAAAATGAAAAAACAGGTGCATACGTCCTCGTAATAAGTCCTCGTTAAATCATGACATGTATTTATTTAGCCGACGATCAGCGTTTGATAGTGAGAGAGAGAGGGAGAGGATGATTTAAAAGTATGATGAAGATGATTTGTATTAATTTTTAGAATTTAAGTTCCCGCGGACGAACGGTAGGATACTCGCATGCACGAAAAAAAAATCAATCTTGTAACATCTGTCCCACGCAAAACTGTTGACTCTGCTGAGCTTACAGATATTAAACGAACATTAAATGTCTTGTTAAAAAAAAATTCTTTACGTTTCAATGTTATTTCTAAACACCCACTTGAATTGTCACTCATTTTTCCTTTTTCTTTAAAGAGAAGGATAAAAAGAAAAGAAATTTCTAAAGAGAAAAGAAAAGGAAAAGAACTAAAAAATAATTTCTTTTTTCTATTTCTTTAAGGAAAAAACTCTGATCATTTTTTCTATTTTTTTTAAGGATAAAAGAAAAGAACTAAAAAATCGTTTCTTTTTTCTGTTTCTATAAAGAGAAAAGAAAAGGAAAAGAATTCTTTAAAATATAATTTCTTTTTTCTATTTCTATAAAGAGAACTGTTTAAAGATCATCGCGAGGAATACAATGTGGAAAAGAAGACAGCAGTGAATTAGTAACATATTGAAAATAAAGAAATACTTCATTGTCACCGGTTAATGAATGGGCACTTAAAAGACACTTTACTGGTAAACTTGTGAAGAAGTAAATTCCTTTGTTTCATGTTGCGACTAATCTAAAAGGAATCACGAATCAATAAATCAAGCGAGGACTTAATTTCATTCCTTATTCCCCTCGTCGTGGGGGAATAAAAGGAATCTTTGAAACTCAAAGAACTCGAAAAGAAATAAAATATTGGGAAACATTGATAAAAAATCTATAATATTTATAGAAAAAAAATTTAATTGTAAATAGATTTTCGAATCCTAAAGTATTTTTTTCAAAATGTCAATTTTTTTCAAATTGGCGAAAAATCAACGGTTATCAATTAGTCGAAAATTAAATGAAATTTACAAATTAAAATTTGAAAATTTACTGAATTAATTATAGTAAATTATTGGTGAATAAATAAATAATTGAATAAACAAATTAATAAATCAAATTTAAAAAAAATAAATATTACCTAACACAATAAATAAAGCAGTAATATAAAAAAAAAAAATTCCTGCGTAATTTTTGTAGAAAATCCACAAAAAAAATTGCCGAATGAAAAATTTGATTTTTAATATTTTTGAAGAAGTATTCTTTTGAAAAAAATTGTTTTTAGATTAAAAATGCTAAAAACCTATTGTTATTCAATTTTTTTTAGTTCAAAATTCAATTATTTAATTTTTTTATTTGATAATTTAATTATTTATTTTTCTAAATAATTTCAAATCATTTTTTAATAAGATTATAAAAAATAAAATATTCAAAAATTAACACTGAAATTAGTTAGAAAAATAAAGAAATGAATTGTCATATAAAAAAATTGATTAACAATAATAATTCTTAGCATTTTTAATTTTAAATCTAACAACAATTTTTTTCAACGGAAAAATTCTTCAAAATAATAATAATAAAATTTTTCATTCGACAAATTTTTTTGAAGATACAAAAATTTTTTTGAGGATAAAATTTAGAAATGAAAAAAAATTGATAATTTCTTAAACTAGTGCTACAAAGATGAAATATTATATTAGTCAGAAAAATGAAGACTGATTCCTTTAAAAAGAAATCTCGCAAAGTGCAACTTTTAATCTTCCATTATATGACAATAAATAGAAATTGTAAATCTAGAGTAAATTTTTATTAGCACTTATGTAATTTTATATAAAATTGTTTAAATCATATTTATCATCTCGAAAAGCTAGAAAACTTCTTTAGAAATCCAAAGAATACATTTTTGTGAATTTATTCACTAATTATGTAAAATTTACCTCAAAAATCGAACTTCCTCAAAAAAAAAAAAAAGAAAAATAATAAAAAAAAATAATTTCAAAAAAATTCTTTTTCGATTTGTTCTTTCTCGTTTTCGAAAAAAGTTTTCGAAAAAACAGGAAAATTCCTCGTGATTCAAATGTCACATTAGCGCAATTGTATATATAATTTACAATAATTGATTCTCTATCAGACAATCCTAAGAAGAGAAGAATTTCTCACAGAAAATGAGTGAAAAAAATCATGACAATTATTATTCTCAATCTGTTTTTGTATATATAATATAGGTGAGAAGAGTGAATGTGTTAACACTCACAAATCAAACAAGGCGAATAAGACATTAAATGAAAATGATGCAATTAAAAGTACCTACATGCCTTATTTCTCACACGAGAGATTAAATCATAAGAGTTCGATTATATAGAATCAAAATACGAAAGATTTATTTTTGGAAAATGAGAACACGGCATTATGGTAAAAAAAAAAGATGATGATGATCGTGAAATGCTTATTCTTGTGTAATCGGGCAAATGGTTTAAGAACCATATAAATGAACTTCGAAAAAAATTTTCGTGCCCTTCGTAGAAATAGCGAATCGGCGGATGATGTCGGCATCGCTACCGTCGATCTTGGAATGTGGGTTCGGTAAAGGACACAAATGTCAGCAAAGTTCCACACATTCATGAACTAGAGATGAGAAAAAAGAGAAAAGAGAAGAAAGAGAGAGAGAGAGAGAGAAAAGGGGGAGAGAATAGAACACGAGAAATACGGGATTAAATATATACATATATATTTATTTAGTTTTGCAAAAGAAAACGCATCCTATTAAAGGTTCAAGAGATCATATTGTGTACCATGATCCAATGATCGGATCATTCGTGACGCCGGTGGCCTTTGACGATTCTCTTCATTGGGAGTCTATAAATTTTCATCTGTCAACGCGTCGCAGCAAATAATTGCCACCATATATGGATGAAAGGGGGGTTTATATGCAATCGGGCGATTCAGGACCTGAATAAATTAAAAAAAACATTCATTCATTCATGTGGACAATTTGTACCAATCAGGATCCGACGATCTTTTATCAACTTTTATTAAGTTGTTCGCCAGGATTCTTCTACTTTCCTTCCTCTCTAAATTTTCCTATTTGCTTAATTTTCAAGTTTTTTCGCCTTTCTTTCGATTTTTAAAATTGAATCATTCATTTCGAATTTTTAGTTTAAATTTGAATTTCGTTTTTTTGAAATTTCGCCTCTATCTTTAAATTCGGTTCTTGTCAAATTTGGATTTGGAATTTTTTTTAAATCAACAAATAAATTTCCTTAGATTTGAAATTTCGTCTCTATCTTCGTATTTGGATTTTTCTCAAATTAATTCCTAGGGGTTTTAAAAAAAAATTTTATCATCGAATAAATTTGCTTAGTTTTGAAATTTCGTCTCTCTTCGAATTTGGATTCTTCTCAAAATTAATTCCTTATGGTTTCTAAATTTTTATTTTAATCACCAAATAAATTTGCATAGTTTTGAAATTTCATCTTTTTTTTCGAATTTAAATTTTGTCAAATTAATTCCTTGGTGGTTTCTACATTTTTTTTAATCAACAAATAAATTTGTTTAGATTATGTCCCTATTTTAGACTTTGGTTTCTTATCAAATTGATTCTAAGTGGTTTCTACATTTTTTTTTTAACATCAAGTAAATTTGCTTAGTTTTGAAATTTCGTCTCTCTCTTTGAATTTGGATTCTTTCCGAATTAATTCCTCGTAGTTTTAAAATTTTTTCTAATTACCAAATAAATTTTGCTTGGTTTTGAAATTTCTGAGTTCAATGTACTTGCGACTCTAGCCAAATTTGTTGTAATTTTGTTCTTTTTAATTCTGAAAAATAAAAATCACATCAATTCAATAAAATAGCAGAATTGAAATTGTTACAGAAAATTTGAAAATCAGAAGAAAACGGAAATAAATTTCAAAACTAAGCAAAACTAAACGACGAGAAATTAATTTGTGAACAATCCAAATTCGAATATAGAAACGAAATTTCTAAAGAAGGAAAATAAAATTCGAATTTAAATAACAAAATTAGAATTGATGATGAAAATTTGAAAATCTGAGAAAAGAAGAAGAAAACGGAAGCGAATTTTGAAACTAAGCAATTAGGCAAATTAGTTTGGTAATTAAAAAAAATGCAGTAACCAGAAAGAATTAATTTGCGAGGAATTTAAATTTGAGGATAAAAACAAAATTAAAAACAAGAAGAAATTTGAAAATTCAAATCTAAATGAAAAATTAGAAATGTTATAACTAAAATAATTTAAAAACGGAAGTGGATTCAAATTGAATAGGAAATTAGGAATGAAATCCAATTTAGATACGGAGACCAATATTAATTAAACTCAAAAACAAATTTTTATTTGTGGAAAAATCGAAATAAAAAATGCCACTAAATTTAACTCCGGATTTGGAGTTTAACTGAAATTCGAAACAAAACAAAAATAATTTAGAAACAGAATCGAATTATAATCAGTTTGAAATTATAAATAAAAATTATTTTACAATAAAATATCAAAATTTTCGAATAGAAAAATTCGCAGCTGAATTTAAATTCAGTCGGAAATTAGAAATAAAATCAATTTAAAAGGGAAATTCGATTGAAATTGAAATTAAAAATTTTAAATAGTTAATTGAAAATCGAAACGATATAAAAATAATTTAGATACATAATCAGTCGGAAATTAGAAGTAAGAAATATTTTAGAATAAAATATAAAAATTGTCGAATGTCAAAAATCGAAAACAAATTTAAATTCAGTCGAAAATTATAAATAAAATCAAATTCATAGGAAAAATTGGATTCAAATCGAAATTTAAAATTAAAGACAATTAATTAAAAATCGAAGAGATACAAAAATATTTTAAAAACAGAAACGATTTATAATAAAAAATAAAATTATGATTCAAATAAGAAATATTTTAGAGTAAAATATAAAAATTGTCGAATGTCAAAAATCGAAAACAAATTTAAATTCAGTCGAAAATTATAAATAAAATCAAATTCATAGGAAAAATTGGATTCAAATCGAAATTTAAAATTAAAGACAATTAATTAAAAATCGAAGAGATACAAAAATATTTTAAAAACAGAAACGATTTATAATAAAAAATAAAATTATGATTCAAATAAGAAATATTTTAGAGTAAAATATAAAAATTGTCGAATGTCAAAAATCGAAAACAAATTTAAATTCAGTCGAAAATTATAAATAAAATCAAATTAAAGGGGTTTGTTTGAATTCGAAATTTGAAATTAAAGACAATGAACTAAAAATCGAAACAATAATTTAAAAACAGAAGCGAATTAGGTATAATAAGTTCCAAATTTGAGATAAGAATGATAAATTCCAAAGAAAATCAAATTAAAATGAGAAATTTCGAAATTTGAAATTAAAGCCAATGAATAAAAAATCGAAATTAATGTTATTAGAAAAATAATTTAGAAACAGAAGTAAATTTTATAATTGCTCCAAATTTAAATGCAGTTGAAAATGAGGGAGAAAGAAGCAAACAAAATTACTCCGAATTTGTCCAAAAGAAGAAACAGATAATTGGCAAGCAATATTACAAGCAATAAAATTACCTTAAACTTTTGGCAAAATAAAAAAATCTTCAACTTTTTGTCAAAAATTAATTTCAATTTCCTAATTTGATCAAAACTATATACAAAATGAAGACAGTTAGAAAAAATAAGCGGGAACTCACCGAGTATAATTTATAGTGATCGTGAGATTCAAAGGGTGTATATGTATACACATGTGTATCGTGTATTCGTGACCTGTCGATCCTCCTTATTCCATAATAAAAGTGCCGAAGGGGGGCAAAATGTCCACATAAACGGTACACTATATATATAAAAGATCGTGAATCCCGAACGGCAGATTCTTCAAGAATTGCATTCGAATCGCGCGATGATTGTCCAAGTGTAAACATAATCCTTTTCCCTTCTTTTAAGTTATGTGTTATGTATTTTAAAAAAATAATTTAAGTGCTCACACAATGCTACGATCTCCAATATTTCGTTTCATTTTCAAATACACGGTTTGTTTTTCATGTTTTTTTGCCACTTTTATCCTCGAATCATCAATTTTCAATGATCAGTGCATTTTTTTTTTAATTCGTTCGTGTTTGGTGGTGACTTGCGAGACCTTTAAAAATGAAAAAGAAAATTATAAGAAATTTTTTGATATTATTATTATATATTAATATAACTGAATAAATAAGTAAACATTAATTTAATAAATAAATAAGTAAATAATAATTTAATAATATGTGATTTTTATTTATTTATTTAATTTTCGATTTTTTAAATTCACATTTCAATTGTTATTATAAATTTTTCTATTCTGTTGTTTTGAACGTAATTGAATTTTTTTCGAATTGAAAATATTCGGTATTAATTAAAAACTTGAAAAAATAATTCTTTCTTGTCAAATTTGATTATTTGTCAAAAAGTTGAAAAAAAATTCCCATCGTGGAGAGAATTATTTTACTAAGAGAAAATTGTCAATTTAACAATAGACAATTTTCCCTTGATAAAATAATTCTTTCAATTATAAATATTTCAAATTGTCAATTGGTTTTCATAATTTAATTGAATAATTGAAAAAAAACTAAATTTTTTCCAACTTAGCTTTTATTAATTAATTAATTAAATAAATTTTGATAGTAAATTATAATTTAGTTTTTTTTCAATTATTCATTTAAATTGTGATATTGAATAACAATTTAGTTTGTTTCAATTATGCAATTAAATTCTGATACCAAATCAAAAGATTATTAATTAAAGTTGAATAATAGTTTTCTTTTCAAATTTTAATTAATTAAAAGTCAACTTAAAAAAAATTTAATTTTTACTTTCTCATAAAAAATGAGAACAGGTTTCACACTCAATAATTAATTTAAAATAAGTATCAAAAAGTAGCTTTAATACTAAAAAAAGTAGCTATTGAAAATTAATTTTAACGAATAAAAAGAAAATTGTTTTTTGTCCTACCTGCACGAAAAGTATGTCATTTCGGGCACTTAAGGCGGGCGCAAAGTAACACATTACGCCCGGGAGTGGAGGAAGCGGGCGGAAAAGTATTTTGAGCCCGCTTGTATGACGTCAGCGGGCGGTAAAGTATTTTCCGCCCGCTTCCCCTACCTCCGAGCGGGCGGAAAATACTTTACCGCCCGCTTGTTAATTATTTGATTTTCTTCATTAAAATGCGACATTTTCGACTTTCTTTTTATGTTGACTATAAAACTGCAAACATTTTCAACTTGTTTTATTTTGTCTATAAAAATTTGCAATTTTTTTTTTCTCTAAAAAAAATAATGAGATATTTGGTTTTGTTTCCATTTCGTTTATCAAAATTGTCAATTTTAAAAGTTCCTGTTTCAGTTTTGTTCAATTATTAATTACTACGTTCTAAATAAATACTATGTTTCCAGAATACATTGTTTTTTATTTCTATTTTAAAACTTCTATCATTAAAGACTTCATTCGATATAATATTTATATAGAGCTTAATTTTTAACTAATATGAGAGTTTAATCGTGCGTGCCCTCAATGCCATACTTTCCATGCAGTTAGGACAAAAAATTATGTTCGCATCATGGGCGCAAAGGTGATTACGACTTGGGCGAAATTTCGGGACCTCGGGGACACTTTCGCTCCCTCGGCTTCGCCTCGGGCGCGAAATTGTATCCCCTCGGTCCCTTCATTTCGCCATCGTCGCAATCACCTATTTTGCGCCCTTGTTACGAAAATAACTATTAGTCGATTCACAAAAATTTGATTCAGTATTTTCCTGACTGTTTCATGATTTCAATCAAAAATAATTATTTTCATTCTAATCCTGCTGAGAATTTTAATTCTAAATTTTTGAAGAATTCAAAAATTTTTTAAAAATAAAAAATGAGGAAATACGTTTTAGAAAAACTGTACCCCAACCATTCAATTATTTTTCAAAGTTTTATCTTAAAAAATACAATTGTATTTAAAAGTAATTTTTAAAAGTAAACAAATAAAATTATTTAATAAAATTTAATTTAAATTATTCACAGGAATTAAGAAAATAAATTAATAATTTTTCAAAGTAAAAATTTTAATGTTATTACAGTTTTATAAACAATTAAAATTTTCAACGATTTCAATTGAATAATATTTTTAAATTTAGTTATTTCTAAAAAAATCGTATTATAACGCTTTTAATATTCAATTATTAACTAAAATTTCAACTGAAATTCGTTTTTAAATCAATTCTTATTAGAAAGTACAACTGAAATTCAACTATTTAAATACAAAAATAAATAATATATTGAATAATTAAATGTTTCTCAAAATTTAATTCTTATAAAGAATTTATCAATTTTATAAAAAATAATTTAATTTTTGAGAAGAATTTTGTTTAATTGAATTTCTGAGAAGAATTTTAATATTTATGAAAATAATTGAATTATTGAAAAGAATTTTATTATTTATGAAAATAATTGAATTTTTCAAAAGAATTTTATTATTTCTGAAAATAATTGAATTTTTGAAAAGAATTTTGTTTAATTCTTTTTAAATAATTGAATTCTCGTGAAGAATTGTATTATTTGGGAAAATAATTGAATAATTGTGAAGAATTCAAGAATTCAAGAATTTATCAATTTTTTAAAAAATACTTGAATTTCTGAGAAGAATTTTATTATTTATGAAAATAATTGAATTCTTGCGAAGAGTTATATTTAATTCTTTTTAAATAATTGAATTTTCGTGAAAAATGTTATTGCTCGTAAAAATAATTGAATACCTGCCGTAGAATTTTATAAAAAGTTTTTGAATTGTTTTTTTCCGTAAAATTTTACGAAATATTTTAAAGAATTCAATACCTGTGAAAATGTTATTACTTATAAAAATATTGAATGTTTGCGAAGAATTTTATCAAAAATCTTTTGTGGTATTTTATTAAAATTGTATAGATATTAAAAATCATTGATTTTCGAAAAGTTTTTGAGAATAATAGTTGAATAGTTTTAAAGAATTTTATTACAATTTTTAGAAATTTTTTTTTATTCCAGCTATTAGCGAATTTAAAGTGATGCAAATTTCCTTCAAAAAATAAAAAAAAGTAGCTTTTAGTGTCATAGATCTAAAAAAAGTATCCAAATAGTAGTAAATTGTAAAAAAAAGTAGTAAATAGTACTAGGTTTTAGTAGATGAGTGCGAAGCCTGTGAGAAGGTCTTGTTTTTTTTAAAAAAGTGAAATAATTCGAGCGTAATATTTAGGTGCTGTGTTCTTTGATCTTAACTCGCAGCTCGGCGGATGTATTGTCGCCAACTCAAAAAGCACCACCATTCGCGAGAGGATCCGGGGGTCTGGCGCTTCCATTGCCACTAGCTGGCAAAGCTCGAGTTCCCGCTAGTCAGCCGCCAGCAGGAAACAATGCCGTCGATGGAGTGCAACGGGAAGAAGTCACTTCATTCAAAAAAGTGGGGGACGAAACAATTATCGTTGTTGAGGGAAGTTTAGGGTACAACAGTCCCGAAGGTCTTCCCGTCTCCGTCAAGTGAGTTTCCACTTCCAAGAACCACTTTCTTTCTTTTTTACTCGCAAACATTCGCCCTTCTTTCACGGGGTCGTGGAAGAAAAAAATTCATTTTTATCAACTCTAAAACGTGACAAAAAGAATTATTTTTAGTTTATAATTTAATTCATAATTAGGTAATAAATAATTATTAAGCCCCTCGTTAATAAATAATTATTTATTTACAAAATTTTGTCTTTTTCCCTGACCCTAAAGAATATTCTGATTCACTCTAAAAATGATTAAATAATACTCAAAAAAAATGTTCTATTAGGTACATTTATTTAAGAATTTCTTTAATTGTAAAATTATTCGAAAATATCAATAACTTCAAATTTAACTTTCAAATTCAATAACTTGAAAGAATATGAATATGAATATAACAAATATTCAATTCAAATTATTTTCTAAAAATTTAAAATAAAATTCTACTTTAAATCAAGTTTTAATAATTTTTTAAATATACATTAAAAAATAAAAACATGAAGTAATTTTAAAAAATTGCAATTAAGCTATTTGAAAATAAAATTAGTTCCATAGAATTTTTAATTAAAAGTATGAAAAATTCAAATTTTCAAAGATTTTAATTTAAAACTTGAATAAAATTCAATTATTTCTAAAAAATTGCAATTATTTATTTTTATTTATTTTAACTCCTCCAAAATTCAATTATTATCTAAAACTAACTGAAATTCATTTATAAATCAATTATTATTAGAAAATTCTATGAGAATTCAATTATTTAAAAACAAACCTAGATAATTTAGTGCATAATTAAATGTTTCTTAAAATTGAATTCTTATACATAAAATTCTATCAACAAATTTTTAAATAACTGAATTCTTTCGACGAATTTTAATAACATTTTTAAAAGTAATTACTGTTTTCAAGGAATTTCATTGAAATTTTATTAAAAATAATTAAAATTCTGAAATGAGCTTTATTATTTATGAAAATAATTCAATTCCTAAAAAGAATTTTCTTATTTAAGATAATAATTGAATCCTTGCAAAAATTGTATTATTTATAAAAATAATTAAATTATTGCTAAGAAATTTTAAAAAAAATTCTAAATAGTAATTGAATTCCTATGAAATTTTTATTATTTATGAATATAATTGAATTTATTTTATTAAAATTTATTGTAAATAATTTCATTTTTTTAGACAATTTTATTAAAATAGTAGATATTGAAAATCATTGAACTGGAGAACATTTTTGAAAAAAATTAAAATTTTTCCAATTTTGAAAATAAAAGCTTTTCAAAATTCAATTATTTCTAAAAATTCACGCTATGTTGCTTTTAATATTCAATTATTAATCTCAAATTTTAACTGAAATTCATTTTTAAATCAATTTTTATAAGAAATTTCTACCAGAATTCAATTATTTAAATGCAAAAATAAATAATTTATTGAATAATTAAATGTTTCTTAAATTTGAATTCTTATACATAATTCTATCAACAAATTTTTAAATAATTCAATTCTTTCGACGAATTTTAATAACATTTTAAAAATAATTACAGTTTTTAAGGAATTCGATTGAAATTTTAATCAAAATCATTAAAATTCTCCAATGAATTTTATTATTTATATGAAAATAATTAAATTATTGCAAAGAATTTTATAAAAAAAAGTTTCAAACAATTTTTTTTTTTTTAAATAATGTATGCAAATTCTATTTTTAATAATTCAATTCCTGTAAAATTTTTATTTGCTTAAAAAATAATTGAATGTTCGTGTTAAATATTGTCGAAATTTTTGTTTAATAATTCAATTCTTTTGGGAAACTTTATTAAAATAGTAGAATATTGAAAAATCATTGAGTTAATAAAAATTTTTTTTAAATAATTGATATTTTGCCATGAATTTTATTAAAATTTTTCAGAATAATTGAATTTTATTACTTTTAAAAATAATTGAATTCTTGTGACGAATACTATTATTTATGAAAGTAATTGAATTTTGCAATGAATTTTATCAAAATTCCTGAAAACAATTGAATTTTGTCGAAGAATTTTATTAATTTGGAAAATAGTTGAATTCTTGTGATGAATATAGTTATTTATGAAAATAATTGAATTTTACAATGAATTTTGCTACATATTTATAAAGATAATTAAAATGTTGACGAGAATTTTTTAAACATTTTTGAATATAATTGAATTTTGGGAAAGAAGTTTAATATTTATTAAGATAATTGAATTCTTTCAAATAATTGCGTTAAAATTTTTAAAATTGAAACTAATTTCAACAAAATTGAAATTAAAGTTTTTTAAAAAAAGACACAAAAATTCAGAATTTTCTTATTAATTCTAAAAATTTAATTTTTCCCAGTACTTTAATAAAAATCCCTGACTTTTCCCTGACTTCCCTGACCTGTGGCAACCCTGTAAAAAATGTTTCAACAAACATTTAATTTAATTCACAATTATCAATTGTTTATTAAAATTGAAATTTTTTTCGTTTTTTCTGCTTTGACCTTGACCTTAAAAAAGAGATTGCGATACAAAGTGCGAGAGAACTCAATAATCTGGAAAAGTGAATAAAATATACGAAAATCGAACGAGAAGTTGCAATTTTTTCGGTTTTAAAATCCAGTGTTAATTAGTGCAATATTTTTCTAAACGCAGGTTTAAAGCAGATGAAAACGGAAATCGGGCTAGTTTCAAAATTGGAACGGGATCGCCTGGTAGTGGAGGAAAAGGATCAGGAGGAGGTGGGAACAAAGGAGGAGGAGGAGGAGGTTCAGGAACAAATAAAGGAGGCAGCGGAGGTGGAGGAGGTGGAGGAGGACCAAATAAAGGGGGAGCTGGACCCGGAGGCAGTACTTATTTACCACCGAATAAAAATGGAAATGGTAAAACGGGAAATGGAAAAACTGGTAATGGAAAAACTGGAAATGGAAAAACGGGAAACGGTAAAACTGGAAACGGTAAAGGAAATGGAAAAAAGGAAGACAGAACTTATCTCCCACCTAGTTAAATTATCTCAACGCATCACTGAAAATTATCAATAAAATTCTTTACCTGAATTTATTTTTCTTTTTTTCAATTTTTTCCCTGAATTATCATTTTCATATCATTTAAATTTCGTAATTAGGAAAATTATTAAAATTATTCTTTTAGGTACTTTTTAAAATTTTTTTTCTTAACTTTATTTTCCAAATTCCATAAGTCGTCAAACGTTTAATTTTTAACACTTAACTATAAAGTATAAATATAAAAGAATTTTTCCGGAATTATTATAAATAAAAGAAAATAAAAAGTTAAACAAAATTAAGATCCCCGATACGTCGAGTAGCCAAAGGGACTGAGAAGTAATGGGATATGATAGTGATCTGAGGAATCGTCAAAATCGAAGACGATTTCAACAAAAGGATACATTGATTTCGTGTTGATTGACTCAAAATATTGTGAGGTCAAAAAGTGAACTTTGTATCGTCCAGCGGTGAAATTTTCCACTTCCACGAGATTATTGCAACGACCGTCTTCATTTGTCATTCTGAAAAAAAAACGAATTCAATTAATTAAAAATAGAAATACAATTTCTAATTTGTAATTATTTCTATTTATTATCTAATTTGCAAATTCTAAAATAAATTATCAATTTATAAATAAATAGATTGAATTCACTAATTTCAAAATTAATCGCATCTATTTGAATAAAATAGTTTTGATTAGTTACAATTTTCGATTAGTGCGAATGATTATTAATCCCAATTGTTAAGTGGAATAATTGAAAAGTTGAAAAATTAAGAAGTAAGAAAATTGATAAGTAAGAAAATTATCAAGTAAAAAACTGAAAAATAAGAAAATTCTTTAGTAAAAAAAATTAAAAATTAAGAAATTTGATAAATAAAAAAATTATTAAGAAAAAAAATTGAAATAAAAAAAAGTGTCAAGTAAATAATTGACAAGCAAAAAAATTTATAAGTAAAAACCTGAAAAAATAAGATGATTGTTAAGTAGAAAAATTGTAAAGTAAAGAAATTGAAAAGTTAAAAAATTGATAAGTAAATAAATTGTTAAGAAAAAAATTGAAAGGTGGAAAAATTGCTCAGAAACAAATATAAAAAGTTAAAAAATTGAAAAGTCAAAAAATTGATAAGTAAGAAAATTGCTAGGAAAACAAATTGAAAAGTAAAAAAATTGATAAGTAAGAAAATTGCTGGGAAAAAAATTGAAAAGTAAAGAAATTAAATGGTAAGAAAATTGAAAAGTAAAGAAATTGATAAGTAAGAAAATTCGAAAGTAAAAAAATTGACAAGTAAGAAAATTGTTAAGAAAAAAAATTGAAAAATAAAGAAATTTAACAATTTGTTTGATTAAATTTATTTTGTCGACAAATAAAAATTTACCTTCTATTCATTGAAGACCATTCCCCGCCGACAGATTTGTACAAAGTCACTGGCACATTTGCAGCTGGTTTTCCTACGCTTGTGTCAAGCACATGGCAAGTGATCGGTGACTTCTGAGGGACATTCTACAAATCATTGTTCATGAGTCACACTATAGGTACATAAACAAATAAAATTCTTCTAGAAAAATCCTCTATTTATTCCTTAATGAAAATACAATTTTTTTTATATATACTACGCAAAATTTACAAATATATTTAACATCTAATCTTATCAATATAATGTAATTATATTACAATTATTGTATTTTAATTTTAAATTATTTATGATAAAATTTATAATATATAATTATTGCTGAAAATTACTTTTTTGTGTAAACAATTATAAATTATAACTATAATTACTTAATTTTAATTTTTATATTAATATGCGAGTTTAATATAGAAAATCCAAAAACGAAAAGATTGAAATGAAAATAAATTTTTCGTTTTTTTGTCACTTTACATTACACTCTTGTAATAATTTTGTAATATTATTTGTTGAGACCGACACTTAAAATTGAGATATACGTGTAAACAATTAGCGATGAATTATTCATTGTAATACAAATTACTTGAATAATGATAAATATAAGTTGCTTTATAAATTCGCATTGTAAACTAACCATTTTAACACGGAAAAAATTCACTTTGTGTCAGATAGAAATACGAATGATTCTACTCGTTTCTCTAAACAGAATGGCGTGAAAACTAAGTATGAAGAACGTAGAGTAGTCACGTTACTATTACGTCACTATCACTGATAATATTTATCACAAAATCTTTCAAAACAATTTTCTACAATGAATAAAAAATAGAAAAAATATTCTTACTTTTTGCTCTAAATAACTTAAAAAGTCAACTATACTTAATTACTTTCTTGGAATCTTTTTCAAAATTCAAATTCAAAATTCAAGATCAAAAAGATTTCAAATTATTTCAAAATTATTTCAAAAAATAATAAAGTTGAATAAAATTGTCTAAAAAGAAAGAATTGACAGAAAAATGAAATATCATTTTCACTACCTAGTGTTTAAAAAAGTTTCTGAAAAAAAGGTAATAAAATTTTTTTTCCGCATAAGTATTATCAAATTTTCTTTCCCAATTATTTTTTCAATTCCTTCATTAAATTTTTTCCATTCTGCGACAAAAATTGTATCAAAAAAATATTATTTAAAACGTAAAAATTCCCATTTATTTATATTTATGTCCAGTTTTTCACACTAAGAATCAATTTAAAAATTAAAAAAAAGAAAGTTTTTTAATAAATCAGAAGATTTATTTATTATTTTACATCATTTGAATAAAATATATATTTAATTATTTAGGTACCTATTATTCTCTAATAAAGATGTCTAAAAGAAAATTTAATAAATATTTTTTTCTTGAAATTTATATTTTTGGTTCTATGGGAAATAAATAGAAATAAACCAATTGAATTTAAATGGAAATTAAAAAAGAAAATTTGCATGGAAATTAATTGAATATGGAAAAAATTGAAAGTAAGCATTGATAAAAGCAGAAAAAGGAAAGAAAAATGGATAAAAATGAAATTTTGTAAACGAAAATACGATATATAGAAAACTCATCTGTCCATTCCGCGGTAAGTCGTGTAACCAAAGGGACTCAACAAAACAGGAATGTGATAAGAAAGGACTGGATTCTTCACGTCAAATACAATTTCAATGAATGGATATAAAGATTCCACACTCTTCAAACTGAAATATTTGTCTACATCGAAATGAAGTTTATAGCGTCCAATTGACAAGGCATTCTTCTCGCTGTTAATTAAATCATTACAACGTCCAACTGGCGAAGTATTGCTGCAGAAAGAAAATATTTATTATAGCAATTAAAGAAAAATTAACTTTGTAAAAATACAAATTCAATTGTTTCGAGGGAAAATTTAAATTCTTTATTAAAATTACTAAAGAAAATTAAATTTTTAGAATTCATAAGAAAATTCTGAATTTTTGTGTCTTCTTTGTTTGACTCATAAACTATAAAATTACTACGAATTCTAATACAAAACCTTCAATTTTTTCAATTTCTGACAAAAAATTCCTTTTTAAATTAAGGCAAATAAATAACTTAAATTACTTTTTACGGGGTTACGTCGCCTTTAAAACCGTCCAATTTAAATGCGTTCAGGGTGGCGTAACCCCTTAAATAACTTCAATCTTGAACAACTATTATAAAATAAATAAATTATTTAATGAATAATTTTACTTGAATATTTCTAAATTAATTTAATTTTAAAAGAGTTGCGTTTACAATTTTCATAAATAAATGAACTTCAAAAGGTTTTAATTTGAAATTTTATAAAATTTCATTTTTTAATGAATTTAATTCGAAATTTTAAAGAACTTAGATTTTTGAAAAATTTCAATAATTCTAATTCTTCTGAAATTAGTTAAATTTTTTAACAAATATTTAATTAATTATTAAAAATAATGGATTTATAGAAGAATTTTAGTTAAAAACACTTAAAAAAATTGAATATTGAAGAAGTTACAAATGATTTTAGAAATTCTATTACTTTCAAAAGTAATGAAATTCTTATCACAAAATTCAATTATGTTCAAAATTGAAAAAAAATCTCGTCAAAAATCAATTACTTTCAAAAATTTTCCTCATTTCAATAATTTTCAATATCTCTACTATTTTAATAAAACTACTCAAAAGAAATCAATTATTTAAAAAAAAAATTTACAAAATTGTACGCAAACATAATTTAATTATTTTCATAAATAATAAAACTCATCGCAGATTTTCAATTATTTTTTATTTTATTTTATTTTAATTAAATTTTAATCAAATTCCTTGAAAAATGGAACTATTCTTAAAAAAATTATTAAAAGTCCTCAAAAGAATTAAATTATTTAAAAATTTGGTAATAAAATTTTTTATAAGAATTTTCTAATTGACAAATAGAATTTATAAACATTTTTCTCTTTTATGTTTAAAAAATTTTGAATTTTATTAAAACAATTGAAATTAAGAAATTGAATTAATGAAAATTATTTCCTTATGAAAATTGAGAATGTCCTACAAAAATATTATGAAACGAAAATATCCCAGTTTGTTTATTATATGCTTTTTTCTAGAACCAATTTCGTTTGACTGATCTAAATTATGCAAATTTTTCTCCTTTTTATTTATAAAAAATAGAAAACTGTTAAAAAATTATGATTAAGAAATAGGAAATAAATACCCATTTTATGTAAAATTTTTATTTCTCAATAACATTATTGTTGTAGAAAATTCTCAATTTTCATAAGGAAATAATTTGCATTCATTCAATTTCTTAATTTCAATTGTTTTAATAAAATTCAAAGTTTTTTAAAAATAAAGAAAAAAAATGTTTATAAATTCTGTTTGTCAATTACTTGAAAATGAAAATTTTTAGAAAATAAAGGAAAAAATTTTACTCAAAAAAATGTTCTGTTACATTTATTTAGAAATTTCTTTAAATGCAAAATTATTCAAAAAGAAAAAACAATAACTTGTTTTTTAAATAAATATTTAATTATTATTATTTTTCCATAGAAATTAAGATTTTCAAAAATTTCAAATTCAAACCTTTTTGAAATTAAACAACTTTAAAAATATTGTTATAAAATATAAAGATATCGATTGCTCCGAGTCGAAGACTCGGAGTGATCGATTTCTTCATGTTTTATAATAAGTAAAGATGTTCGAGAGATAAAATAATTATTTTATATTGTATAAGAAAATTGTTACTGTAACATCTTCAAAATTATTTTCACATTCAATTATTATTTAAAATTTGAACTAAAATTCATTTTTAAATCATTTTTTATTAGAAAATTCTACAAGAATTCAATTATTTAAATACAAAAGTTTATTATTTATTGAATAATTAAATTTTTCTTAAAATTTAATTCTCATAAAAAATTTTATTACCAAATTTTTAAATAATTGAATTCTTTTGACGAATTTTAATAAAATTTTTAAGAATAGTCACATTTTTCAAGGAATTCGATTAAAATTGTATTAAAAATAATTGAAATTCTGAAATTATTTTTATTATTTATGAAAATAATTGAATTATTGAGAAGAAACTTATAAAAAATTTGTAAATAATTGAATTCCTGTGAAATTTTTATTGTTTATGAAAATAATTAAATGTTTGCGTACAATTTTATTTCAATTTTATTACTTTTGAAAGTAGATAATAGAATTTCTGCAATCATTTGTAACTTCATCAAAATTCAATTTTTTTAAGTGTTTTTAACTAAAATTCTTCTATAAATCCATTATTTTTAATAATTAATTAAATATATATTGACAAATTTAACTAATTTTAGAAGATTTTAAATTATTGAAATTCTTTAAAAATTTAAGTTCTTTAAAATTTCTAATTAAATTCATTCAAAATTAAAATTTTATAAAATATTAAAACTATATTCTAATTCATATTTTATTTTTTATGAAAATAAATTTGAATTAACATTTTTTACGTTGTATTTTTTTAAAATTGCTAATTTTATTTAAAAAAGTGAGTAAAAAGTTAGCCGCGCGCGAATTGTTGCAAGTATGGAGATTAATATGTACCTAGTAATTAATTTTTGAAAATAATTCAATTCATTCGAGGAATTTTATTAAAATTTTTAAAAATAATTGAATTTTGTCAAGAAATTTTATTGAAACTAATTTAATTCTTTCGTAAAATTTGTATTGAAAATAATTGAATTCTTATAAATAATTTAATAAATAAAGTACAGAATTTTCTACTGAATTCTAAAAATTAAATATTTTCCCAGTACTTTTGATAAAATTACCTCACTTTTCTCTAAATCGTGGCAACTTAATTAAATTGAGTTAAGATTTAATAAGAATTGATTTTTTTTCAATCGATAATTACCATTCGTTCACAAACGTCCATCTTCCGTCCAAAAGTTTGTAGAGGCTGACCTGTAAACCTCCAATCGGAAGTCCTTTCGTCATGTCTAAAGCGTGAGTTGAAATTGTCGGTTTCTTGACAATAGGCGTCGCAGGTTTAGTTCCTTTCACAATCTGGAAAAATAAAAAGCAATTATTAAAAATACTATTGCAAATTTTCATTTCCCCGTTTCTAAAAAACAAATTTTTAATAGAAAACAAAATTATTTGTTTCTTTGAAATTTAATTGTTTTTTATTTAAGAAAAGAAAAAAATTGAATTAGACTTTCGAATTAAATTACCTTCTTCGCTTGACTCGTGCTCGCTTCTTGTTGAGAGGGACTCTCTTTAAATTTCTTCACAACCGGAAGAAAATTCTGTTCCTTCGTCTCAATTGCCTTTCGTTTATAATTACTCAAAACAAATTGCGTGCCAGAAGCAAGTTTTCCAGGAGCCAATGTCACACCCCGAGCGCCAGTTGACAGTAGAACTGTTTTATTATTCGGTTTAATTTTTATTGTATTACTCAGTGGAACGACTTTCTTTAAAGTCGTTCCTTTTAATAAACTTGAATCAACAAATTCAATAGGTTCTGTTAATTGCTCATCTTCATCTTCATTCATCTCTGAGTCGACTACATCACTATTTAATGACACAAAACTTAAATTATGTCCCTCCTCATCCAATTGTTCTTCATTAGTTATTTCTTCAAATTCAGATGTTTCAACAGTTTCCGACGCAACGTCCATATCTAGTTGTATGTGCTCCGTATTCTCTTCGGATATTTCGCCGTGAACGTGGGCCATCGCCTCTGCTAATTTATCTCGTTTCATATTCTAAATTATAATGATTCAAATAATTTTAGATTAAAATTCAAACCTTTTTGGAATTCAATAATTTAGGTATAATAATTAAAGTTGACCGAGGGATAAAATAATTATTTTATATAATAAAAATATTGTTATCGTAACTTCTTCAAAATTACCTTCATCATTTCAATTCAATTATTATTTTCTAAAATTTTTAACTTAAATTCTTCTTTAAATCAATTGTTTTTCATAATTTTTCCAAAAGTTCTTTGAGAACTTTCTAATCCATTTGTTAACAATTCAATTTTACGAAATTTCGATAATTCAAAAATTCTTGAATTAAATATATATTAGAAAATAAAAAATTCAATTCAACTTTTCAAAACATTTAATTTTACAGAATTGTTAGTTAAATGTATGAAAAATTTTGATTTTCAAAGATTTTAATTTGAAACATATTCAAAATTCAAATATTTCTGAAAATTCACGCTCTAATGCTTTTAATATTCAATTATTATCTAAAATATTAACTAAAATTCATTTTTAAATCAATTTTTATTAAAAAATTGGACCAGAATTCAATTATTTAAATACTAAAATAAATAATTTTTTTGAATGTAATTAAATGTTTCTTAAAATTGAATTCTCATAAAGAAGTTTAACAACAAATTTTTTAAAATAATTCCTTTTTTCTAGGAATTCGATTAAAATTTTATTTAAAATAATTGAAATTCTGCAATGAGTTTCATTATTTATGAAACTAATTTAATTATTACGAAGAATGTTATAAAAAAGTTTCAAACAAATGATTTTTTTTTGAAAAAATTTATGCAAATTCTTTTTTTAATAATTGAATTCCTGTGAAATTTTCATTATTTTAGAAAATAATTGAATATTCGTGTAGAACTTTGACAAAATTGTTTTTAAATAATTGAATTCTTTTGGGAAATTTTATTAAAATAATAGATATGCAAATTATTGAATAAGAAAAATTTTTGAAAATAATTGAATTCTTGTGATAATATTGTTATTTATGAAAATAATGGAATCTCTGTAAAAAATTTTATTATTTATAAAAATACTGGAATGATTGCGAAGAATTTTATAAAATATTTGTAAGTAATTGAAATTCCTGTGGAATTTTTATTATTTATGAAAATAATTAAATGTTTGCGTAGAATTTTATTAAAATTTTAGAAAATAATTAAATTTTTTGAAAGAATTTTTTTACTCTTTAAATAATTGAATTTATACGGACAATTGTATTATTTATAAGAAATAATTGAATTCATGCAAAAAGTTTTATTATTTTTTAAAATAATTGAAATTTTTGAAAGAATTTTATTAAAATTTTTAAAAATAATTGAATTTCTGCGGAGAATTTGATTATTTATGGAAATAAATGAATTCTTCTAAAGAGTTTTATTATTTTTTAAAATAATTAGATTTTTGACAAGAATTTTATTAAAATTTTCGACAAAATTGAATTTCTAGGAAGAATTATATTATTTATGAAAATAATTGAATTCTATCGAAGAATTTTATTACAATTTTTGAAAAAATAATTGAATTCTTTAGATGAATTTTATTATTTATAAAAATAATTAAATTCTTGTGAAGAATTGTATTATTTATGAAAATAATTGAATTCTGGAGAAGTTTTATTATTTTTTATAATTGGAATTTTGACAAGAATTTTAATTAAATTTTTGAAAATAATTGAATTTCTGGGATGAATTTTATTTTTTTGGAAATAATTGAATTCTTTCGAAAAGTTTTATTATTTTTTAAAATAATCGGATTTTTGACAAAAAATTTATTAAAATTTTTCACTATAATTGGATTTCTGGGAAGAATTTTATTATTTATGAAAATAATTGAATTCTATCGAAGAATTTTATTAAAATTTTTGAAAAAATAATTGAATTCTTCAGAAGAATTTTATTATTTTTAAAATAATTGAATTTTTGTTAAGAATTTTATTAGTTTCTTGAAAAATAATTGAATTCTGGAGAAGAGTTTTATTATTTTTTAAAATAATTATATTTTTGACAAGAATTTTATTAAAAGTTTCGACAATAATTGAATTTCTAGGAAGAATTTTATTATTAATAATTGAATTCTAGGGAAGAATTTAATTTAAATTTTTGAAAAAATAATTGAATTCTGGAGAAGAGTTTTATTATTTTTTAAATAATTACATTCTTGCGAAGAATTTGACTATTTATGAAAATAATTGAATTCTAGCGAAGAATTTTATTATTTTTAAAATAATTGAATTCTTGTGAAGAAATACTTATTGTTATTTATTTGTCCATCGGGAATTAATTTCAAAATACATTCAATCTAAAACCTTTTGAAATTTAATTTAAATTAGAACTGCAGTTCTTTTAATTCTTCAAATATTTTCTAAAATTTGAACTGAAATTCTTTTTCAAATTAATTCTTATCAAAATAGTTAACTGAGATTTCAATTATTTAAATTGAAAATATAAGTGATAGAATAATTATTTCTAAAAATTGCAACTGCAACTCTACGAAAAAAGAGTAAAAATTTACCATCATTTCGATTTTAATTGTCTTCACGGGTCCTTTAATTTCAACATCCTTGCTAATATCACGTGCGTATTTGTGCTCTGGAAAACTGATTTCTTCTTCTGATTCTAATGCCTCGATAGTGTACTCCACATCTTCATCTAGTTCTTCAATTTCCTCCTAAAAGTGTAAAATAATATTTCTAATTTAAAAATTACCGTAAATTATCATTTTACATTATTTTCATAAATTTATATTAATTTCAGAATTTGAAAGTTAAGAAAATTGAATAATTTTAATTTTCAGAAAATTATTCACAAATACCCTGTTTTCTTCACTTTCGCTGTATTCTACATCCATATCGCCCTCTTCAAGTTTTGTATTCTTCGCCCTTGCCATTGTATTTTGAAACATTAAGGCTGATCTTTGATGTTTCATTGTACACATATGCTTCAATAATGAGAGTCGATGTGCGTGCAAATCTTTTTTACAATATTTGCAGTAAGCTCTTGTCGGTTCGTGTGGAACTGACGTCAACCATCCTTTAAAAAGAAAGAAAGAAAAATTAATACAGGGTTGCCACAAATATTTAATTTTATTTTTCCCTGACTTTTCCCTGATTTCCAGACAAAATTCTCACTTTCTCCCTGACCCTAAAAAATATTCTGATTCACTCTAAAAATTATTAGAAACTCAAAAAAATTTTCTATTACATTTATTTACAAATTTCATTAATTGTAAAACTATTCACAAACATCAATAATTTCTTTTTTAAATAAATATTGAATCATTATTATTTTTCCGTAGGAATTAAAATTCTTCAATACATTCAAATTCAAACCTTTTTGAAATTCAACAATTTATAAGAATATTATAACAAAACATAAAGAAGGCGATCACTCCGAGTAGAAGACTCGGAGTGATAGTGATCGCCTTCTTCATGTTTTGTTATAATTTAAATTACCATGACATTTTTCAAAAAAAATTTTATTATTAACAAAAATCCTAATAAAATCCTTCGCAAGAATTCAATTATTTTCAAAAAGTAGTAAATTTTCTCAAAAAAATTCAATTATTTGACAAAATTCTAATAAAATTCGTTGCAAGAATTTAATTATTTTCATAAATAATAAATCGATTATTCGGTAATTTATTTTTAAATCAATTTTTATTAGAAAATTGTAGAAGAATTCAATTATTTAAATTGAAAAATAAATAATTTATTGAATAATTGAATGTTTGTTAAAATTGACTTCTCATAAAGAATTTTATCAACAAATTTTTAAATAATTCAATTATTTTGACAAATTTTAATGAAATTTTTAAGAATAATTACAATACATTTATCGAGGAATTTGATTAAAATATTGTATATCAAAAATTAATTAAAATCCTGCGATAAGTTTTATTATTTATGAAAATAATTAAGACTCATCCCAAAAATGTTATTAAAATTTTTCTAAAATAATTGAATTTCGGTGAAGAATTTTATTATTTATAAAAATAATTGAATTCTTGAAAAGAACTTTGTTAAATTTTTTTTAAATAATTGAATTCATGCGACGAATTTTATAAAAATCTTTTTAAATAATTGATATTTTTCGAAAAATTTTATGAAATTTTGTATATTAAATAATTGAACTCATGTGGAAATTTTATAATTTATATAAATTATTGAATTCCTGTGAAATTTTAAAAAGAATTTTATTCAAGTTTTTAAAAATAATTGAATTTTGAAAAAGAATTTTATTATTTATAAAGATAATTGAAATTTTGACGAGAATTTTTAAAAAATTTTTGAACATAATTGAATTTTGGAGAAGAATTTTATTATTTTTAAAGATATAATTGAAATGACCAGAATTTTTTTTAATTTTTGAATATAATTGAATTTCTGCGAAAAATTTTATTACTTTTGAAAATAATTGAATTTCTGGAATTATTTGTAACTTTTCCAAAATTCAATTTTTTTAGTATTTTTAACTAAAATTCTTCTATCAATCTAGTATTTATGAAAATTGTAAAAATGATTCATTAAATAATTTATAAGTCATAATTTTATGATAGTTCTTGTAAAGTTAAGTTATTTGAAAATAAATTATTGTAAGTTATAGAAAAAATTAAAGGTTTTGTATTAAAATTCGTGGTAATTTCATAGTTTACGAGGCAAATAAAAAAAAACATCAAAATTCAGAGTTTTTTCATGAATTTTTAAAATTTAATTTTTCCATTACTTTTACTAAAAATCCCTGACTTTTCCCTGACTTCCCTGACCAATTTTACTTTCCCTGACTTTTCCCTGAATTCTCTGACCTGTGGCAACCCTGTAATAACAAAAAATATTTTACACAAATAAAATAATTTTACCAAATAAAATAATATCACCTGTAATAATATACATATATATGAAGGTACAATAATACTCAATTTTCAGCAAAAATAAACATACAACCAAGTTTATAGTGACAAAAATTTTTATACCGAAAATTGAAATTCTTCTCTTCACCTAATTGTAAATTCTAGTAACTTCATATTTGGCGCGAAACTAATGCGCATGCGTGTAGAAATAGAATCTTTAAATGTGGAAAATGAACACGTTTACATGCACACTTGTATATTTCCGCATACATACTTTCTCAACAATGAAAACAAGTGTTGATTCTTGAAAAATACGTAAAACTATTTTTCCCTTTTTCGGTAAAGTTTATTTCAATAAAAATTAAAGTCTACATTAATTACCTCTAAAGTCAGTTGTTTGTTCCCATTCTTTACGATAGCGTTGTGTATAAACACGAGTTTTTGCATAGCTTATTTTTCCGGTTGGCGTTAGTCTTGGCAACTCTGATGGATTGGTATGCAAAATAATTGTTTTATTATCAACCTCAATGTACTTGTCTTCTTCTATTTCCTCCATTATCATTGCCGCATTCAAAAATTTAATATAGAATACGGGGAAAATTGAAAAAATAGTAACACGAAATCACTAAAATAGTTTTTTTTCACGAGGAAAGGGAAAAAGTGTGTCTTGATTCAGTCTAGTACCGAAGTTAACTCCCTAGCAATGGCGGACGAAAGAGAAATTGTCCTCTTTATTTTAAAAACGTAAATTATGTAAAACTGTTCTTACGAGTATTACCATAGTTTACACAGTTTATACCATATTTACACTTTTATACGCTTTCGCTCTCTCTGCAACTGTGTACTAGGCTTTATTACCCATACCCCAGGGTTGGGTAGAAACTTCAAATTTTTTTTTTAAGTAAATATTTACATTCCTTTTTCTTTACGAGTTTGGAGTTTACATTAAACTTTTTGACTGTAAGAGAAAATTTCGAAACTTATACTGTTATACATATATCTTATCAAGAAAGTTCTTATTTTTAATTAAAAACTAATCATTTCTGGAATTTAAAAAATTTCTGTGCACAGTATAATTTCGTAAAACTTAGTGGAATTTAGAATATTTATTAATTTGTTAATTTGTAAATTAAATTTTTGATCGAATTGCCTTAGAAGAAAATTATTTATTTTTTATTGTTTTAGTAAAATTTCTATAAAATATTTAAACAATTATATTTACAGGAGTTGATATTACCGAGGGAGCGTGTGTGACGTAAATTATTGCTTATTACTGGTAAAGGTGTAAGTGTCATTGAAAGTTTTTTGTTCTATAATATATGTTAATGTATAAACTTTAGTAAACAATCCATTCAATAATTGTGAAAATCAACAATATCAAAGGAAAGAAAGAGAAAGAACGTAATAATTATTAACCTTATTTGGATAATTTCTTTTACATTTTTCGAACATGTTCTACAATTTTTACACGGATCGTACTCAAGATCAATAAAATTAAGTAAACACTTTTGTTTCTAGATCTACTTAACGGTATGTTTTTAACTTTATTCTCTTTATTTCCTTTATTCAATAAATGAGTATTAATATTATTCTATTAATCTATTCTAACCTATAAATATCTTTTACAATATTTTTCAATATTTAGTTCAATATTTCCGAAAGATTGTTCCAATTTTCTTCCGTTTGAATTAATTTGTAAAGCAATTCGAATTTTTAATTCTTGTAGTCTTTTCTTGTGTTTTTTTTATTCTTATAGAAATATAAATTCTTTTTTTTATTAACAAGTTTTTTTTCCTAAAAAGCCAGGTAATCTTTAGTAATTATTTTTATAATTCCAGAATTTGGAGAAATTTTACTGAAAGTTTTCCACATTTGTTTAAACAATGGACAGTGAAAATAGTTCCACGAAAGATAAAGAATCGCCAGTTGATAATAAGGATGTGATAGAAACTTTGGATTCAGCACTCGAGGATAATGGATTAGTTGTGAAAGCAACAGAAGCAAGTGAAGAAATTGGCGATGATTACGGATGCGAGCATTATAAACGAAAATCGAAATTTGTGGCAAGTCTTCGATATTTTTCTATTCTTTTACAATTGATAATTAAGATAATTAGTACATGGTTGCCACAGGTCAGGGAATTCAGGGGGAAGTCAGGGATTTTTATTAGAAGTAATGGAAAAAATTAAAGGTTTAGAATTTAAAAGAAAATTCAGAATTTTTGTGTCTTTTTTCTGACAATAATTTATTTAAAATAACTTAATTCTATTAAAGAACTGCTATAAAGTTATTACTTATAAATCATTTAATGAAGTATTTTTTTGAAAAATTTTAATTTTAATTCTGTTGAAAGAATTCAACTATCTTAATAAATATTAAAATGCATGTCAAAATTTCAATTACTTTAAAAAATAATAAAACTCTTCGAAAGAATTCAATTATTTCCATAAATAAAAAATAAAATAATAAAATTAATAAAAAAATAAATAAAATATATAATAATATATAATATATAATATAATATATAATATATAATATAATATATTAATAAAATTCTCCCCAGATATTCAATTATTTTAAAAAATAATAAAATTTTTCCAAAAAATTCAATAATTTTCAAAAATATTAATAGAATTTTTCCAGAAAATACAATTATTCTCGTAAATAATAAAATTCTTCGGAGAATTTCAATTAATTTCAAAAATTTTAATAAAATTCTTTGCTAGAATTCAATTATTTTCATAAATAATCAAATTATTCGGTAGAATTGAATTATTTTAATAAATAATAAAATTCTTCGGAAGATTTCAATTATTTTCAAAAATTTTAATAAAATTCTTCGCTAGAATTCAATTATTTTCATAAATAATCAAATTCTTCGCTAGAATGTAATTATTTAAAAAATAATAAAATTCATCCCAGATATTCAAATATTTTCAAACATTTTAATAAAATTCTTGTCAAAATTAAAAAATTTTAAAAAAATATTTAAACTTTTCTCCAGAATTCAATTATTTTCGTAAATAACAAAATTCTTCACAAGAATTCAATTATTTTAAAAAATAATAAATCTCTTCAGAAGAATACAATTATTTCCATAAATATAAAATTCATCCCAAAAATTCAATTATTTTCAAAAATTTTAATAAAATTCTTGTAAAAATTCCAATTTTAAAGAATAATAAAACTCTAACTCTAGAATAATAAAATTCTTCTGAAGAATTCAATAATTATTTTAAAAATAATAAAATTCTTCCCAGAAATCCAATTATACTGAAAATCAATTATTTTCATAAATAACAATATTTATCACAAGAATTCAATTATTTTCAAAAAATTTTTAAAAAATTGTCAACATTTCAATTATCTTTATAAATGAGTAGCAAAATTCTTCGACAAATTTCAATTATTTTCAGGAATTTTAATAAAATTCATTGCAAAATTCAATTATTATTTTTAAATACCTAATAGTATTCATCACAAGAATTTAATTATTTTCAAAAGTAAACAAAAATTTAATTATTTTCAAAAATTGTAATAAAATTCATGGCAAAATTTCAATAATTATTTCCAATATTCTACTAGGTAGTTTAATAAAATTTCACAAAAGAATTCAATTATTAAACAAAAATGTTGATAATATTCTACACGAACATTCAATTATTTTCCAAACAAATAAAAATTTCACTGGAATTCAATAATTTACAATATAGAATTTGCATAAATTTTTTCGAAAAAATCAAATGTTTTAAAATTTGGCATATTATATTCTTCGCAGTAATTCAATTATTTTCATATATTTAAAAATTCTTTTCATCGATTTAATTATTTTCATAAATAATAAAATCATTCGGAGAAAGTCAATTATTTTCATAAATAACAATATTCATCACAAGAATTCAGTTATTTCCAAAAGTAATAAAATTCAATTATTTTCAAAAATTTTCCTTATTCAATAATTTGTACATACGTATCTATTATTTTAAGGATGTACGTGCATGTTTTTTGGAAATTAGAAAACACACTTTTTTTACATATATCAAAAGTTTTACGTAAAAAAAAATTTCTTGCAAAGTTTGAAGTCTGTTTACTACGGATTTTTTGAATAATACGAATTTTAAATTATAAACTTTCAACATTGATTCTTATGGAGATATGTGAAATTTATCCTTTCAATTGAAAAAAAAATGTTGAAAGAAATCCAAATAAATTCATGTTTTTTAAAAAATAAGTGCATGGGGATATCACAAATCGTTTCAAATAAAAATTATACCATGTTATCGGAAATATATTAACAAATTTTAGAAAATAGTAAAAAAATATGATCTGTTACCTTCCTTAAATAACAAAGGAAGAAGAGCGGCAACGTCACTTTTACTTGCGATATTAAACTGGTATAGAAAGAAACTGATATTTTTATTATTTAATGGTTGTAAATGTAATGAAATTGAAAGTAAAAAAGAAAAAGGTTTTTTAAAAAATTTCCTTCCCAACGATAAATTACATGCACTAACATTTTTCTGCCATTAATAATTAATATTCTAATTCTAACCAACTAATCATAAAACAATAACATTCGTGCTATTGACAGTTGCGAAGTTGTCAGATTTTAACTCGACAGTTATAACATAGTATTAGTTTATATACGAATATAAAATTTGTCTAGTGTGTGTGACACTAACAAAAAAAAGTTTTTTTCTGAAGTATGAATATATCCCATATGAAAAATCTCATTTTGAGGTTTATATTTTTGTCAGGGAAAATCGTGCACGTTCATCCTTAATAAAATTTCCCAAAAGAATTCAATTATTTAAAAACAATTTTGTCAAAGTTCTGCACGAATATTCAATTATTTTCTAAAATAATGAAAATTTCACAGGAATTAAATTATTAAAAAAAGAATTTGCATAAATTTTTTCGAAAAAAATCAATTGTTTGAAACTTTTTTATAAAATTCTTCGGAATAATTTTAATTATTTTCATAAAAAATAAAACTTATTGCATAATTTCAATTAGGTATTTTTAATACAATTTTAATCAAATTCCTCGAAAAATATAATTATTCTTAAAAATGTTATTAAAATTCGTCGAAAGAATTCAATTATTTAAAAATTTGTTGATAAAATGATGTATAATTTAATTCTCATAGAATTTTCTGAACAGTTACAGTAACAATATTCTTATAATATAAAATAATGATTTTATCACTCGGTCATCTTTAATTTTTATAAAGCATGAACATATATTCTTATAAGTTGAGTAAGAATTCCTGAAGTGTAACAGCAAATTTTGAGATTTACTGTATTTACTTGGTAATACAAGAAAATGAAACATAATTATGAGATAATTAAATGCCTTGAAGGATTTTTCAAAAAAATTAAATTTCACTTTGTTATAAACAATTGAAGTTTTTTGCAGTGTTTTATTAAAAAATTAATATCTCAAAACAGAATAAACGAATCGTTATAAAATTTGGTATGTATACTCAGAAAATGATGTAGTTTCAAATGAAATAATTAAAAAATTAAATTGTTTAATTTTTGTAATTGTTATTGCAAATTTAATTGTTTATTTGTAAAATAATCAATGTTCTTAACGTCGTAGGAAGTTCGTTCAAATTTCACCATAAAGGCTTTTTTATAACGATTCCATACCCGTTTTGAAATTTGGTGTCCCGCAATTAGGAACAAAGTTATAAATTTTTTTCTGCCGGGCGTCACGTTTGTTTACCGCGCGGCATGTCCACCGTTACCGCCGCCACAGTGGGCCAAATGTACTTTTTGTGTCAAAATCAGTCTAGAGGTCACAATTTTCATTCAAATTAAACAAGTTTTTTTTAATCATCGTTACTAAATTCTTTATTGATTCCTCCAGGCCGATTTTTTAATTTTTGTTTATTTATATTTATTTTTTTATAACAAAGTATGAAAAAGTCGATATTATGTTGCTATAAAATAAAGCTTTTAACATTTAAAAAATTTTTAAGTACATTAGAAATCATGTTTTAGTATTCCTGAAGAAAAATTTTTTATATAATTACACTGTTATTAAATAAACAATACGCTAATTAATTTACTTTTGCAAAAAAGAATATGATTGAAAAAAATTCAATTTGTAGTATATTTCTTCGAGTTTTTTACCCGAAATATAATAGGTAATTAACATATAAACATGCAGTACTAATTTAATTAATTTTTAAAATGTTTAAACAATTTTTTATTGTTAATTGTAAATTTTTTTCAACATTAACAAACAAAATTTTATTTTTTTTACATTTCTCAACATTTTACGCAGGAAATAATTAAATACAAAAATAAAGGGTATTGTGAAAATATTTAACAATTGTTTAAACAAATCAATTGTTTTTTAGTAAATTTTATTTTAAAAAAATTAAAATTTTGATTTCTTTTTATTTCTGAAATTTTTGATAAACTCAAAAGTATGGCTTGCAAATGCTAATTTCTATACTTAATTATTTAAACAAATTTGAAATTAGATATAAGGAAGTTATTTTCATAGTTACATATATTCTTACAATTTCTTAATAAAATGTTTTAGAAATCAAGGTAAAATGTAAATTAGTATGTGGATTCTATTAAAAGTTAAAAATATTAATAATTTGTTTAAATAATTAAGTATAAAAATTAGCATTTGCAAGCCATACTTTTGAGTTTAGTTCATTTAAATAGAAAAAATTTCAGAAATAAAAAGAAATCAAAATTTTAATTTTTTTAAAATAAAATTTACCAAAAAACAATTAATTTGTTTAAACAATTGTTAAATACTTTCACAATACCTTTTATTTTTGTATTTAATTATTTTCTGCGTAAAATGTTGAGAAATGTAAAAAAAATAAAATTTTGTTGGTTAATGTTGAAAAAAATTTACAATTAACAATAAAAAATTGTTTAAACATTTTAAAAATTAATTGAATTAGTACTGCATGTTTATATATTAATTACCCATTAAATTTCGGGTAAAAAACTCGAAGAAATATACTACAAATTGAATTTTTTTCAATCATGTTCTTTTTTGCAAAAGTTAATTAATTAGCGTATTGTTTATTTAATAAAAGTGTAATTATATAAAAAATTTTACTTAAGGAATACTAAAACATGATTTCTAATGTACTTAAAAATTTTTTAAATGTTAAAAACTTTATTTTATAGCAACATAATATCGACTTTTTCATACTTTGTTATAAAAAAATAAATATAAATAAACAAAAATTAAAAAATCGGCCTGGAGGAATCAATAAAGAATTTAGTAACGAAGATTAAAAAAAACTTGTTTAATTTGAATGAAAATTGTGACCTCTAGACTGATTTTGACACAAAAAGTACATTTGGCCCACTGTGGCGGCGGTAACGGTGGACATGCCGCGCGGTAAACAAACGTGACGCCCGGCAGAAAAAAATTCATAACTTTGTTCCTAATTGCGGGACACCAAATTTCAAAACGGGTATGGAATCGTTATAAAAAAGCCTTTATGGTGAAATTTGAACGAACTTCCTACGACGTTAAGAACATTGATTATTTTACAAATAAACAATTAAATTTGCAATAACAATTACAAAAATTAAACAATTTGATTTTTTAATTATTTCATTTGAAACTACATCATTTTCTGAGTATACAAACCAAATTTTATAACGATTCGTTTATTCTGTTTCGAGATATTAATTTTTTAATAAAACACTGCAAAAAACTTCAATTGTTTATAACAAAGTGAAATTTAATTTTTTTGAAAAATCCTTCAAGGCATTTAATTATTTCATAATTATGATTCATTTTCATGTATTACCAAGTAAATACAGTAAATCTCAAAATTTGCTGTTACACTTCAGGAATTCTTACTCAGTTATTAAATTTCAAAAGGTTAGAATTAGAAATTTTGAAAGTCTTAGTTCCCATGGAAAAATAATAATGATGATTAAATATTTATTTGTGGCAACCCTGTATCTAAATGAATAAGTTAATTAAATAATAGAGAAAAGATGTCTTTTTTTAAATTAATTAATAAGTGAATAAATAATTTAATTGAAAAGTATTTCTCGTTTTTTACAGACACCATGTTGTAATAAAGTGTATACATGTAGATTTTGCCACGATGAGCAGGAAACGCATACGGTTAAAAGAAAAGAGGTTACGGAATTAATTTGCGTTTTGTGTGATACTCGTCAACCAGTTCAGGCCACATGCCAGAAATGTCATTGTCGATTTGGCAAGTACACCTGCCTTGAATGCAACCTGTTTGACGATGTTGATAAGAAACAGTATCATTGTAATGGATGCGGCATATGTAGACTCGGTGGTCGAGATAGATTTTTCCATTGTGCCAAGTGCAACATGTGTTTACCTGTGGAACTACAAAATGGTCACAAGGTTAGTATTTTATCGACCTGATGAATATAAAGTATACTTTTATACCAATAGAAAAAAAGGAAAATCGCCCTCAACATGCAATTCACATATTTCGACGCCCCCCGACTGTAAAATGTTTATTCGAATCTCCGTGCAATAAAATGTTAACTCAGAAATTCGTGCTGTATAATTGTTTTTAAAAATTTCATGCAATATAATGTTAACTCAAGTTGCATTCAATAAAATGTCAATTCAACCACCAGTGCAATACAATGTTATTTAAAATACTAAAATTTTTATTTCCAGCCTTTAAATTGTATGAGGTTAAATTAGATTATTAATTTATTTATTAAATTACTTAAATAGATTGAAGTTGCAACTGTTGACAGCACAATAATATTCGTATAGTTTCTTATTTATGGGTTAAGTTTTTATAAAAAAAAGTCAGTAATGCAGAATGGTGAATAAAAGATTATTTTTTTATGGTGAAATATCTGCATAGTTTTCCACTCTTTAGACAAACAGTTTGGTTTTTCTTCAGCAGACCAATTGGTTGAAAAAAAGAGTTATTATATATGTACAGCGTTAAAAACTGCTACAAAATGGAAAACTAAATTCAAAAAATAGGGACTGTTAAAGTAATTTTAATATTTTTAAATATTTATAATTTTAATAAAAATAGTTTTCAAAGTTAGAATTAAATAAATTTTATTCTTTCATTTTCCTAATTAATTTAGTATAAGTAAAAAATATTTATAACATAACTTTTTCACTTTCGCAAGAAAAATTCACTAATTATGTTTTTCTTTAACCTCATATAATTTAAAGGCTAGAAATAAAACTTTTAGTATTTTCAATAACATTATATTGCACTGGTGGTTGAATTGACATTTTATTGAATGCAACTTGAGTTAACATTATATTGCATGAAATTTTTAAAAACAATTATACAGCACGAATTTCTGAGTTAACATTTTATTGCACGGAGATTTGAATAAACATTTTATAGTCGGGGGGCGTCGATTTAATAATGTTTATTCGTCTTATATGACAAATTTTTATTATTACGGAAAAGGGAAATTTATAGTCAACATATTTCATATGTTTATTCGCCTCTAATTTTATTATTACGGGAAGGGAAAATTTATTACTTTAAATCTATTTATAAATGGGACGAATTCATCGATATTTCAATTTACTAATTTTTCTTTCTTTAAAATAATTTTTATGAAACAAAAAATTTATTATAATTACTCGAGAAAAAATTATAACGAGAATAGTAATAATTGCAGACCTCGGATATTATGACTTTTTCGACTTTTTTCTACTATTTTAAAAATATGCGACTTTTTTCGACTTATTTTCAAAAATTGCGACTTCTCGACTTTTTTCCAAATGTTGCAACAAAATACCACATTTTTAGTATAAAATCAGGATTGCCACAGGTCAGGGAAATCAGGGAAAAGTCAGGGATTTTTAGTAAAACTACTGGAAAAATTGAATTTTTGTTTGCCTCGTAAACTATAAAATAACAACGAATTTTAATACAAAACCTTTAATTTTTTCTATAACTTACAATAATTTATTTTCAAATAACTTAATTTTTCAAGAACTATCATAAAATTATGACTTATAAATTATTTAATAAATAATTTTTACAATTTTCATAAATACTAGATTGACAGAAGAATTTTATTTAAAAGTACTAAAAAAATTGAATTTTGGAAAGGTTATAAATGATTCCAGAAATTCAATTATTTTCAAAAGTTATAGAAATTCTTCGCAGAATTTCAATTATGTTCAAAATTTTTTTAAAAATTCTCGTCAAAATTTCAATTATCTTTATAAACAATAAAATTCTTCTTCAAAATTAAATTAGTTTTAAAAATTTTAATAAAATTCTTGTCAAAATTTCACAAAAATTCAATTATTTACAAAATTTTTAATAAATTTCTTCGAAATAATTCTATTATTTTCATAAGTAATAAAATATTCACAGGAATTCAATTATTTAAAATACACAATATTTCATAAAATTTTTTGAAAAATATCAATTATTTAAAAAGATTTTTATAAAATTCATCGCAAGAATTCAATTATTTAAAAAAATTTAACAAAGTTTTTTTCAAGAATTTAATTATTTTTATAAACTTGAATAAAATTCATTGCAAGAATTCAATTATTAAAATATAAATAATAAAATTCTTCACAGAAATTCAGTTATTTTTATAAACTTGAATAAAATTGGTTGGAAGAATTAAATTATTTTTAAAGTAATAAAATTCTTATAAAAATTTCTAGTATCTATATAAATAATAAAATTCTTCTCCGAAATTTAATTATTTTGGAAAAATTTTAATAAAATTCTTGGGAGACTTGAATTATTTTCATAAATTAATAAAACTTCTCGCAGGATTTTAATTATTTTTGATACAATTTTAATCGAATTCTTCGAAAAATGTAATTATTCTTAAAAATTTTATTAAAATTTGTCAAAAGAATTCAATTATTTACAAATTTGTTGATAAAATTCTTTATGAGAATTCAATTTTAACAAACATTCAATTATTCAATAAATTATTTATTTTTCAATTTAAATAATTGAATTCTTCTACAATTTTCTAATAAAAATTGATTTAAAAATAATTTACCGAATAATCGATTTATTATTTATGAAAATAATTAAATTCTTGCAACGAATTTTATTACATTTTTTTTAAATAATTGAATTTTTTCAGAAATTTTACTACTCATAAAAATAATTGAATTCTGGCGAAGGATTTTATTAGGATTTTTGTAAATAATTAACTTTTTTTTGTAATAATGTTCTTAGAAGTTGTTAAATTTCAAAAAGGTTTGAATTTGAATGTTTTAAAGAATTATAATTCCTATGGAACCTTGAAAATGCAATTTATTTCGATTTTTATAGTGAGAAAAATATAACTATAGACAAATTTTTCAAAATTATATTTTTGAATAATTTTTTACGATAATAAAATTTTTAAAATATACGTATAATTAAAACATTTTAGAATAATTGAAATTTTGGCAAATTTAATTGAAAATAGTTTATTTTTTAAAGTATTTTATTACAATTTTTAAAAATCAACTTTTGAAGAATTTTAATTGCAAATTTTTAAAATAATTAAATTCTCAAAAATTTTAATGAAAAATCTTCAAGTGTAAATTTTAAAATAAAAATTAATGGAAATGTTCTTCTAAAAATTATATTAAAATATTTTAGAAAAAAGAAATTCTTAGAATTTTTCCATTCAAAATTTTTAATTAAAATTCTTCAAAAAAAATTTATTAGTTTTCTATAACTTACAGAAATGCTTTTAAGAAATTCAATTATTTTCAAAAAATTACAGTACAATATTTTTAAAAACCTAATTCTTAGAAATGATTTATGATACTTTTTTAAAAATCAATTATCTTCGAACAAAGTAAATTAAAATTTTTATAAATTTAATTTTTCATACCTAATAAAATTTTGGAAAAAACATGTTCATATTATTTTATAATTAAAATTCTTTAAAAATATTATTTCTTTATATTTTTCAAAAATTATTTTATTTTTAAAAGTATTTATCAAATTTCAATTATTTGGAAATTTTTCAATTGTACATTTATTTAAAACTATTACTATTACTATTATTATTATAATTTTAAGAATTTCTTTATAACAATTTTTTGAAAATATAATACCGTAATAACTTTTTAAAATAAACAATTATTTTAGAAAATTGAATATTTGTTTTTAAATAATTGATTTAGAGATTAAATTTAGTTAAAAATTGTAGAAAATAATTGAATTTTGAAAGGACTATAGTTGTAATTTTTAGAAAGTATTCAGAAGGTTTTAAAATGAAATTTAAAAAATTTTATTTCCTGTAGAAAAACAAAAAAGAATTATTTAAATATTTATTTAACAAAATTATTCAAGTTTTGAATAATTGAATTTAGAAATCAGTGAAAGGTCAGGAAAATAAAAAATAAAATTTTTGTGACAACACTGAATTAAATAAAACGACTTTTTCGACTTTTTTTGTATTTTTAATCGACTGAAGCGACTTTTTTTGCGCCTTAAAGTCGATCCGAGGTCTGTAATTGAAAAAATGTTATTCTAAACTTGAATTCTATTTTTGTTAATTGTAAATTTTCTTTTTTGCAGTGCGTTGAGAATGTATCGCATTCGAATTGTCCGGTCTGTTTGGATTTCATTCACACGAGTCGTATTCCCTGTCATATACCGACTTGCGGACATTTGCTTCATGGGATTTGTTTTCAAGATCTTCTCCATTCGGGACATTACGCTTGTCCAACTTGTCAAACTTCTCTCCTCGATATGACTGAATTGTGGCGATTTTTGGACAGTGAAGTAATTCTCACTCCAATGCCACCGGAATATGAAGACATAATGGTTGAAATTCTCTGCAAAGACTGTCACAAGGTGAAAAAAAAGATGCATTCTATTTATTTACTATTAGAATTTCTATAATTATATTCTCCCGTCTTGAATACAATTTCAAAAAAATATAATTATCCTTTTTCTATTTTCAGGAATCAACTGTTAAATTTCACATAGTCGGCCTAAAATGTTTGAGATGTGGAAGTTACAACACCTGCAGAATCAAGGAAACATCCGGTTTGTGTGAGTAAATAGAATTTTACAAAAAGAAAAATAATAAACGATAATTAATAAATACAATATTTTTAATTCAAATTAAAAAGACAAAAATTAACTCGAAATGATTTTCTACAGGTAATAATCAAACAGAAGAAGTTGCGAGTGGAAGTGGAGAAGCTGATCATTGATAGAAAATTAATGATGAATGGCAAAATTATTGAGTTGAATTCGAAAGAAAAACATTCCATGGTAAAAAAATCACCTATATGCTCGATAGTGTGATATTTTGACAATTTCTGAATTATTTTTTTTTTAGTTTATAAGTATTCAAAGTAGACAATTTTATTCTTCTTAATATCACACGTAGATTGATTTTGAATTTTTAAGAAATTGTAATATATATACAAAAAATATATATATATATATTTATAGATTTTTTAAATATTAGTCAAAACAATATTAGGATCTGTTAAATTAACGATTTTTCAGCAAGAAAATATCAACTAAAGTTGATAAAAAAAGATTTTGCCTCCAAACTAAAATGAATACCAATTTTCCTCGTACAATTTCTTTTTCAAACAATTAATCAATAGTTACTATTTTGTGATTTTTAGTTTAGTTGAATTTCGGATATTTTTTCTAAATATTATTTGAAATTAGCATTTATTGTTACTTTTTTACAATGAATCACAATTCTATTAAACTTTTTCAGTTTTAGAGTTGAATATTAGAGAAACGATTATTTTAGTTGTTAGTTGCTTAACTGTTGTTAAAAATTTGTTTCTTTTTGTAAAAACATTTCCGTCGAATCGACTACGATTTTACTTCGTGCAGTCTTTTTTTTTGTTTAAATACGGTAAACACTATTTTTGTTACGTGTATTTGAAAATTGCATTTTGTAAACATTTTCCACGTCCTTTCGATATTAAACATCATTTAATGATTTTAATTTCCGAGAATTTAATTGATGTATTTAAAGAAAATTTTGTTGAACTTATTTAAAAACAAAAAATAATAACGTCGATAAATGTAATGGCTTGTTAACCGATTTTAATAGAGACTTTTGTAGATGTAAATTGATAAGCATAGGAGATTTTACAATATTGTTTGTTAAAAAGAAAGTAATTCTCCTGTTTTTCGAATGAAGCTTTTAAAAGACAATTTTCTCGATCATTGATCAGAATAGGTTAATAGCTTAATATATAGAAATTTTTTGAAATATCGTACTTTACTAGATTATTATTATCAATTATTATATAATATGTATATGCTATTGAATTGAAGAAATCTTTAATAAATTTTATAATTTATAAAAGACAAAATTTAAATAATTTTCGCTTCTTAACAATATAAAAGAGTTCAACGATTCGTGAATGGTAAAATTAAAAAAAAAATCAGTTGATATTCAATTAAATTATTTTCAATATTGAAGACTAAATTTCAAACTCTTTTTTAAATTCAAAAAAATCAAACTCTTTTCTAAATTAAAAAAATTCAAACTCTTTTCCAAATTAAAAAATATCACTAGCTTATAAATAAAATAAAATTGTAAAACTTTACTTTAACTTCAAGTAATTCCAATAGATGTAATAATAATATTATAAAAATGTAATAATTCATTCCGTAATTGTGTCTTCGTTTTTAGTGTCGACTGAAATTTATCCATGCTGTGTTACTCGATGTTTAAAATAAAATTTGCACTTTGTGATCAACTGTATATTTGTGTTTTTTCATTCAATAAAAAATAAAATAATACAATTGCTTTTTTTTCATTCTAAAAAGAAAGATTCGACTGCACATATTTTTTAGTAAAATACGACTAATCGACTTTTTCCACATTTTTCAATTACTTTTCGACTTAAATTGTAAATGTCAGAAATCTTTTTTTGTAAACAATATTGTTCACAAAATCATTCTCCTCTTTGGGGAAAAAAACATAACATATATAACATACCCCCTTTCTTAATATTTTTGTAGGAAATTTTCAATTTTCATAAGGAAATAATTTGCATCATTTCTATTTCTTAATTACAATTGTTTTAATAAAATTCAAAGTTTTTCAAAAATAAAAGAAAAAAATGTTTATAAATTCTATTTGTCAATTAGAAATTGAAACTTTTAAAAGTTTTAGAAAATTAAAGGAAAAAGTTTTGGTCAAAAAAATGTTTTGTTACATTTATTTACAAATTTCTTCCAAATTTTTCGAAAACATCAATAACTTCTTTTTTAAATAAATATTTAATTATTACTTTTCCATAGGAATTAAAATTCTTCAAAAGATTAAAATTCAAACCGTTTTTGAAATTAAACCACTTATAAAAAATTGTTATAAAACATGAAGAAATCGATCACTCCGAGTCGAAGACTCGGAGCAATCGCTGTCTTCATGCTTTATAATAATTAAAGATGACCGAGTGATAAAATCATTATTTTATATTATAAGACTTTATAAAAAAAAATATTTTAAATTATTTTTTTTACAAAAATAATTGAATTTATTATTGGGAAGAAATTTATTTATTTGCGGAAGAATTTTTATATTTACAAAAATAATTGAAATTTTGAGTTAAAAAAATTTTTTTAAAAATAATTGAATTATTTCAAAGAATTTTCTTACTTTTGAAAATAATTTAATTTTGCAAAGAACTTTTGAAAATAATTAAATTTCCATGACGAATTTTATTATTTATGAAAATAAATAAAATTTTGGGGAGAAATTAAAAAAAAATTTTGAAAATAATTAAATTTCCATGATGAATTTTATAATTTATAAAGATAATTGAAATTTTGAACAGATTTTTTAAAAAAATGTTTAAAAGTAATTGAATTTTGCAGAAAAATTTTGATATTTATAAAAATAATTGAAATTGTGAGGAGAATTAAAAGAAAATTTGAAAATAATTGAATTTCTGCGAAGAATTTTATTACTTTTGAAGATAATTGAATTTTGCAAAGAATTTTATCAGAATTTTTGAAAATAATTAAATTTCCATGCTGAATGTTATTATTTATAAAATTTTGAAAATAATTGAATTTTTTGCGAAGAATTTCATTATTTTTGAAAATAATTGAATTTCAGAGAAGAATTTTATTATTTATAAAGATAATTGAAGTTTTAACAAGAATTTTATTAAAATTTTTTTTAAATAATTGAATTTCGGAGAAGAATTTTATTATTTATAAAAATAATTGACATTTTAAGGAGAATTTTTTAAAAAATGTTAAAAATACTTAATTAAAATATTGCTATGAATTTTATTAAATTTTATTCCGGATTGTTTGATATTAAAGTATGTGTTGTCGAGAAACGTGATTTTTTTATAATTTTGACAATTTCGTGTTTTCTTTTTGTCGTTTTTTTTTAAATTTTATGCAACTTTTTTCCGACTTTTTCTGATTTTTTATGCGACTTTTCGTGACTTTTGTTGTGAATTTATGCGACTCGAAAAAAAACAACTTATTTGCGATCTTCACCACTTTATTTATTACATATTTTATTCGTAAATTAAATACCAATTACAAAGGCTCTTTTTACATAACATCGACTATAGTGTTTTATATTATTATAATCTATGAAATAAACCGGCTATAATTTCATTCTCTTATTACACTGGGTTACAAAAAAATGGTCATATCGTGTTTATTCAAAGTTTCCTGTGTTTATTGAAAGTTTAGGTGTCACTGAATAAGAATATACCAGTAAAACATTTTTTCATTCGGTCATTCCCTTAAAAAAACGAGTTTAAAGTGTCAAAAACCGTATTTTTAGCACTTATTGAGGCAGCGTAACAAGAAAACGCAACATGATAAAAATCTCTACAAGAGCTTAAATAAAAGCTTAAACCTTCAACTTTGAGGCTCAGAACTGAAAAGTACTTAAATAATCAATGAAAACCTCCTTAATTAAGCAGTCGCTACCTGAAATTGTCAAAAAAAGCTAGAACAGGAAGCAATTGGTAAAAATCGATTTCCTTAAGCGGATTCGGTTGCAACTTGTTATTTGAAGTTTTTTGAGGTTTCTAATGACGAATTGGAACTTAGATTTAAAAATTTCAAAATGGCGGACTGAAAATAATGAATTCACTCAATTTTTCAAAATTTGCGTTAATAATTTTAAAAAATTGAGTCCGCCACTTTGAAATTTTTCAAATCTAAGTTCCAATTCGTCATTAGAAACCTCAAAAACCTAAAATAACAATTTGCAACCGAATCCGGTTAGGGAAATTGATTTTTACCAAGTGCTACCTAACCCAGCTTTTTTGATAATTTCAGATAGTGACTGCAGGTTTTCAGTGCTTATTTAAGTACTTTTCAGTTCTGAGCCTTAAAGTTGAAGGTTTAAGCTTTTATTTAAGCTTTTGTAGAGATTTTTATCATGTTGCGTTTTCTTGTTACGCTGCCTCAAAAAGTGCTAAAAATACGGTTTTTTGAGACTTTAAACTCGTTTTTTAAGGGAATGACCGAATGAAAAAAAGTTTTTCTGGTATATTCTTATTCTGTGACACCTAAACTTTCAATAAACACAGTAAATTTTAAATAAACACGACATGACCATTTTTTTGTAACCCAGTGTTATTTACTTTTTATAAAAAAAGGAAAAAACAGCACATGGCGTACAAATCAAATGGACTCTAAGAAACATTTTTTTCCATCAAAAAAGTTATACATATGAAATATATTATAAATTTCCATAATATAGTATTTAAAAAAAACACACCCTTTTCGCCGCAGTTTAAAACAATTCATTATTCATAAAAAATGGATCGTTTTATTAGAATAATTCTTTTTTTTTCCATTTAAAAAAAATAATAAAATTCAGAAATACTAAAAATAGGAAAAGAATTAATATTTTCAAAAAAATTTCCTATTCTCTTTTTGTATTATCCGAACGCTTAAAAAAAATTGCACTCGGATAAAAATTTTTTTTTCAATCAAAAATAAACAACTTTTATAAACTGTAGCATTTTTGTGGCTAAAATATAAAAATTGAAGGGTATCCAAAATAATGACATAATTAAAAATTTTCAATTACTACTTTACAATTATACTTTTTCTTTGTTTACGAAATATTAATTTTTTTTCTTAATTTTGCACTGAGTTTTGAAAAATAGTTTAATTACGTCATTTTATTGAATTTCCGAAAAACAAACAATAATAAAATAAGCCGGACAATTAGCCGCCTTTTTTCTTTTAGTTATTTATCAGTCGAGAGATTCACGATTCGTTAGAAGTCTTTTTTTTCTAATTTTCTGATTTTCTTTTTAATTTGTGTTCATTGTTTTGCTTTTGTATATATACAAGAGCATGAATTATTTATTTTTTTCTTGCTAATACTGTTAATGTTAGCGTTTGAAATCAATTTATATTCAATTAATTATTTTTGTGTTTAAAAAGAATGTATAAATAATTTTTTTTTACAAAATACCGGTAGGAGAAAAAAGGCTTGAATCGAGAATCTCGTTGTAGATTACACATTTTTTTTTCTTGTAGAAACTTAAAATTTAAGAGAACGTGGGCGTAGTGTTAGAAATCCTTGAATACCAAGAAATTTGCGAGCTGCTCTCGTCATTTCGAGCTGATCCATTGTTTGACCGCAAGCAACCGTTGCCCATTGCACTTCCAACTGCAGCTGAAAAATTAAAATCTAGTTACAAATCACAGTGAAAAATCATTTTTTGATCATTTGACATTTTATTATTATTCATTGAAAATTTTGTTTTATTATTATTGAATTATTATTTTATTTTACTTACTACTTTCATTATTATTTTCCTTTTTTATTTTATTTACTACTTTCATTATTATTTTACTTTTTTATTTGATTTACTATTTTTATTATTATTCTACTTTTTTATTTACTCTTTTTGTTATTATTCTACTTTTTTATTTACTATTTTCATTATTATTCTACATTTTTATTTTCTCTTTTTGTTACTATTCTACTTTTTTTTATTTATTATTTTTATCATTTATTAGTTTCCTTATTTTATTATCTACTATTTTCAATATTATTTTACTTGCGACTGAAAAATGGACTTTGGTTTTCAATTATTTGAATTTTTGAATCGATTTTTTAATTTAAAAACAAAACATTAAATTTTTATCTACTCTTTGAACTAAAACAATTTTTTTTCTTTTAAAATATTTTTCTCTCTTTGTTTACGATTTTAATAACTACATGTATTCCAGTTTTTAAATTATTTTATTATAAAAAATTTTATGAATTACTATTAATATTCAATATTTAGAAACTAAATAAAAATAATAAAACAATAAACAGTTATATAAAAAAATAACCGAATAAAACAATTTTTTTACTTCTTTAAATTTATTGAAATTACATCTTTTAGTCTTCTTTCAAGAAATGCGAATAAAATTATTTTTAAATTTTATTAAATGCTATTATTAAATAATAAAAATAAATAAATATTTTATTAACCAAAAATAAATAAACTAAATTTATTAAAAAATCCCTATTAAAAAAAAACAATCCCCAGAAATTTCACACGAAAAAACATTTAAATGACCAAAATCCAAATAACACAACACACAAATATTAATCCCCTTTTTAAGCAATTAAAAAACCTTCTTGAGCTGAGAATAAATTAAACTTGATGAATAAATACACATTTAATTAATGGAATAATGATATGTGATAAATGAGAGAAGCAAATGTCTGTCAGGATACGTCGAGATAAAAGCGGACTCACCTTGGCGCGTTTGGATGGTGGCCGAGGTTGAGGGCTGAAATTACAGGGGCTGTCAAACGCGTCGAACGATATAGCCCTCTTGGCATTCGACTTCCGATGAACGGAGACAAAGTCGTGGGAGGTCTGGAAAGGATAGACACACTCTAGCTACAGCCGGCAAGTATTTTTAAGAAAAAAAAAAAAACACACGTGGAAATTTTTTGATAGAGTCAATTTGATTTCTTAATTTTTTTTTTGCTTTTTTCAGAATTTGAAAAAGATTATTTCAAAAAGATTTAAATTAGATTTCAAAAAGATCTAAAAAGATTTTATAAGATCTAATAAGATTTTAAAGATTTCAAAAAGATTTAAAATAGATTTAAATTAGATTTCAAAAAGATCTAAAAAGATTATCAAAATAGATTCATTATTCGAAAAGATTTTCGTAAGTAAAAATAGTAAAAAAAAATTCTCCTTTCTTTAATTTACAATAAAGAACCAGAGGGTTCGTAATTTCTGTTAAATTCACAAAATTGGAGAGTGATCTTAATTTTTTTTCTTTCGTTTGTAATTATCGTAAATATTTGACTAGGCCTCTGTATTTGGTACATACGCGAGTCATCATATAGTGAGCTTTTTTTTTTTCTTTTACGCTCAGGAATTAATTAATTATCTTTGGGTTGTTCGTTTTCGCCAAAAAAGGCATTTTTTTTTGTTTATTTAATTATTTTAAGGGGACAGGATCAAGGTACTTTGGTACGCTAGGCCAGGCCTGTTAAGGATGATTCGCTTTGGAGTTAGTGCTGACATGCAACAACCCAACAAAAAAAAAAAATAAAATAGCCAATCCAAAAAAAAGAAAAAAAAACAGGGCAAAAATAAAAAAAAACTTTAAATAATATAAATATTCATATATAAATACCCTCAACAAATAATTAATAAAAAGATTTTTTTTGAAATCTTTATACAAAAGATATATATAATATAGAAGAAAATAAACATATTTTTTGTCAGCTTTCTTATTTTTTTTTAAATACGCCTTCGAAATTTATTTTTATTTCGAAGCAGTATTTATGATCTACTCTCGGAAAAATAATAACAATGAAGTCAGAGCTTCAATTTTTTTTTCTTTTTTACAAATATTCTTCGAAAATTGTAAAAAAAGAGGAAATTCGATCGTTATTTTTCTAAAAAAAAAAATTAAAAATATAATTTCTTTCATTAAAAACAAAATAATTGTTTTTTCTGGGGGGATGGGGGAAAAAAATTCGAACGATAATACCTACAAGGATAGGAATAAATTAAGTACTTAACGTCTTGGACGTTTCTACTAAAAACTAAAAGCGTCACGATAAATTAAAAAAAAAATAATTAGAAAGGAAATAAGCAACATGGTTTTTTGATCTACATAAACCAATAGATTTTACAACCGAGCAACGCTGCGTCTTTAAGTTGTTCTTTTTTTTGGTTACAATTAATTAACAAGGAGAAAGAGAAAAATAATGTCAGAACTTAAGAAACAATTGTTGCGCTCAGGATATTAAATATTTGTACAATTGCCTGTTGATTTCCTCATAATTAAATATCTATAAAACCTAAAAACTAATATATAAAATGTCAAAAAAAATATTAGTTTTTCAAACTAAAAAAATATTTTTCAATTACGAAAAAAATTATAAATTTAAAAATATTTCATTAAAATTAACTTGAAGCAATTGAATTTAAAATCAATTGAAATTAAAATAAATTGAATTTAAAATCAATTGAATTTAAAATGAATGGAAATTAAAATCAACTGAATTTTAAAATCAATTGAATTTAAAATCAATTGAAATTAAAGTCAATTGAAACTAAAATCAATTGAAATTAAAACGAATTAAAATTAAGATCCCAACTGAAATTTAATTTTAAATTAAATATTTTTAAACTCAGTCAAAATTCAAAAACAAAAATTTTTAAATTAATTAGAAATTATTTTAATTAAAATTCTTTTTAATTAAAAGAAATAATAATAACTAAACAAATTCTTTTTAATTAAAAAGAAATTCTAAGGGTTTCTTTGGGCATAAAATTTTTTGTTGAAAATACGTACACCGGACATATTCATGAAAGACGCTACGAATGAGTTCCCGATTAATGCGGGTATACGAGCGACAAATATGAAATTCGAGTGCAAGTGTTAGAAACAAAAAAAAACTATATTATGTTTAATAACAGACAAAACAGAGAGCGATGAAAAAAGAAACATGAAAATAAAAGAAAAAGAAGCAGAGAGAGAGAGAGAGAGAGAAAGAGAAAGAAAGAGTTAAGGAGAGAGTAAGAGTAAGAAAGAAAAGGCCGGCTAGCGTGTCTAAAGGCGATTGGAGCGGGAATAGTACCAGGAAAGGGCTGGTTGGCTTAAATTTTCGCTTTGACTTTGGACATATTGCTCTACCTTCACGGGACTCGGTCCTGCTGCCAAAAAACTGTCCTCCAATGCCATTGATGCTGGAGAAAACAGCACTGATGTATCCAAATTTTTACTCTGAAATTTAAATCATATTTTCGTTAAAATTCCTCTTGTTGATTGGAGTTTCTCTAGTAAACGGATAAAATTTTGAAATTTATAAACGAATTTAAATTGAAATTCAAATTTAAAAACGAATTTAAATTCAAATTTTAATCAGTTTATTAAACATTTTCTTTAATTTAAATTTTACTTGACTTAATTTTGATTTTATTTTAACTTAATTTAAGTTCGAAGTCAAAATTAAATTTAAGTTCAAATTTAAATTATTTAATTAAAAAATTTCTTTAATTTTAATTCGACTTTGAACTACACGAAAAGAAAATTATATTAAAGTTTGTAAAAGTATTTCACAATTTGGGGAAAAATGCGACAAAGCGAAACTTTAACATAAAAAATACTAAACAATGAAAGGAATAATATGCAATTTAGTATAATTATATCAAATATCAAGAATTTTAATATAAATTTACTAAATTTCATACTATTTCTTTTACTGTATTTAGTATTTTCTATGTCATAATTTTGATTTGTCGCACTTTTTCCCCAAATTGTAAAATACGTTTACAAAATTACAAAATATATTTTCTCTCCGTGTAATTTAAACTCAAGTTCAAATTTAAGTAATTCAATGAAAAAACTTGTTCAATTTAAATTCGACTTGACTTAATTTTGATTTGACTTCGAATTATAATTTACTCCATAGTGAATAATTTCTCTCTTCTAAACGAGTTAAATAATTCATAGAATAAATTTTTCTCTGTTAAAAGTAAACTTGAAATTGGAAAAAAATTGGACAATCACCGGGGTCTCGATGGCGAAACTCATGTCCGAGGAATCTGTTGAATTTGCCCACGCTTGGCACAGTGCTTTTCGTGCTCGTTTACCACCCGGTGCACTGTTCTCCTTTCCTCTTCGCCTTCCCGTTCCATAACCAGAATCCTGAAGCATACTGCTTGAACAGGCAAAACTCTCCTGATCCGTTTCCTGTTTAATAATTTCCGTGAGGGCATCCAAACGACTTGGCGTTGCCGGCAAATGTGTCGATGAGCCGATTCTTCGTTCCAATTCAGCCAGAGCATTTTTAAATGGTGTCGGTGTCCTAGGCGTCATGCCATCTGAAAATTTTTCAAATTTAATTTCAATTCACTTTTTTATTCACTCAACATTTTTTATTTCTATACTTTTCATTGTTTTTATAAAATTAATCTAATTAATTAAATTAAATTAATTAATTTAATTATTTCTCAAAATTCACGTTGTAATGCTTTTAATATTCAATTAGAATCTAAAATTTTAACTGAAATTCATTTTTAAATCAATAGTTATTCGAAAATTCTACAAGAATTCTATTATTCAAATACAAAAATAAATAATTTATTTATTGAATGTTTCTTAAAATTCAATTCTCATAAAGAATTTTATAAACAAATTTTTAAATACCTAATTAGGAATTCTTTTGACGAATTTTAATAAAATTCTTAAGAATATCTAATTACATTTTTCGAAAAATTCGATTAATATGAAAAAGAATTGAAATTCTGCGTTGAGTTTTATTATTTATGAAAATAATAAAAAACATTTTATTGTTTATGACAAAAAATTGAATCCCTGTAAAATTTTTTAATATATATGAAAATAATTGAATTTATTACGAAAAAATTTATAAAAAATTGATAAATTATTTGAATTCTTGTAAAGTTTTTATTATTAATGAAAATAATTAAATGATTGCGTAGAATTTTATTAGAATTTTTTTTAAATAATTGAATTCTTTTGGAAAATTTTATTAAAATAGTTAATATTGAAAATCGTTTAAATGAGGAAATTTTTTGAAAATAATGGTAATTTTGACAAGAATTTTATTAAAACTTTTGAAAATAATTGAATTTTGGAGAAGAATTTTATTATTCATAAAGATAATTGAAATTTTGACGAGAATTTTTTTCAATTTTTGAACATAATTGAATTTCTGCGAAGAATTTTATTACTTTTGAAAATAATTGAATTTATGCAATTTTTAGTGTTTTTAACTAAAATTCTTCTATAAATCCATTATTATTAATAATAATTAATTAAATAATATTCAAGAATTGAACTAATTTCAAAAGAATTTGAATTATTAAAATTTTTCAAAAATCTAAGTTCTTTAAAATTTTTAATTAAATTAATTGAAATTTTATAAAATTTCAAATTAAAACCTTTTTTGGTTCATCTATTTATGAGAATTGTAAACGAAACTCTTTTAAAATTAAATTAATTTTGAAATATTTCAGTAAAATTATTCATTAAATAATTTATAAATAATAATTTTCTGATAGTCCTTCAAGATTTAAGATATTTAAAAAGAAATTATTGTCAGAAATAGAAAAAATTGTATCAAAATTCGTGATAATTTCATAGTTTATGAGTCAAACGAAAAAGAAAGAAAAATTCAGAATTTTCTTATGAATTCAAAAAATTAAATTTTTTCCTGTAATTTTAATAACAATCTCTGATTTTTCCCTGACGTATGGCAACCCTGTAATTAATTAATGAGTTAATTAGAACTCACCACCGAGATTGCGACGCAAACCTGACGGTTGGGGCGTTGTGAGAGCCTCGGGACTTCCCTTTGGTGTGCTTGCCCTGGGCCATGACGTCTCAGGACTGAGACTATTTAAAAATTGCGATGGACTGAAGGGCAATTGTTTAATGGGAGTCGATGGCGTTGTTCCAAGATTATGATGTTGATTTAACAAATAATCCGATTGATTCCCACTGTCCGGCGTGTCGGTTCTCTCGATCATTTGGAAATTGCGCTTCCTTCGGAGAATCGGCGGTGGACTTGATTTCTCCTTCTCCATACAAATATTCCCTTCCTCGAGATCGGGCATCGGAAGGAGACGAATTTCCGACGACCTCGAACTACTCGCCTCCTTTTGTATGTCCAAATCGAAATATCTAGCACGAGAAATATTTACCCTTTTGAATAGAAAATCAAAATAATAACTAAATTTCAATCGTTCTTTAGAAATATTTCTATCCAGAATATTATTTTTAGAATCCGTAAATTAAATTTTGATATTCGTATAAATATTTTTATATCTAAATTTAAATACCTGGAGAATGGAGATAATGTTTCGGATTTTATCCTCTGTGAACCATCTCGTCGAGGTGGTGAATTTAGTTGCCTTTCGGCGTTATTGCATTCATTTAGGTGCATCATATTCTGATAATTACTCTGCGGACGATGGGAGGTTTGTTGCTGCTGCTGTTGTTCCCAAGCTTTTGTCCAATCGAGCTGATCGAGATCGCCACAAACGGCATTCTCGGGTATCGATGAATGTGACGAACTGCTTTCGCCTCTTGAATTTTTATTACTCACTTCAGTAGAATTATCTTCCTGTGTTTTCTGTGTTTTCGATTCTCTACTGTGGCTTGAACTTGCATTCGCAGCTTTCCTTCTTCCCCTCCCTGAAACAGAAACAAAGACAAAATTATTCATTAATTTTAAATAAAAATTTATATTTAAAGTTTAATTATTTTTAATTTTGTTACTATATTTCTTTTTTTTCCTCAAAAATCAGTAAATTTTGCTAATCAAGAGCGAGGATTATTAAATTTACCTCTTGATCCAGAGAGTCGACCATCTTCGGTTTCATATTTTCGCCTCATTGTACTGTTCCAATGATTTTTGATTGCATTATCCGTCCTTCCAGGTAAAAGTTTGGCAATTTTTGCCCATTGATTACCGACTCGACGATGTGCCTCAACGATAATTCGATCCTCAGCCTCCGTCCAAGCGGTTTTCTTTATACCTGGATTTAAATGATTGTGCCACCTTTCGCGACATTGTTTTCCAATACGACCCTTTAAATGTCTTGCTATTAATGTCCATTTTTTGGGTCCGTATCGATCGACCAATTCGACAACTTTCTCATCCTCCTGGAAGAAAAAAGACATTTTTTTAACAAAAGAAAAAATGGATTTAAATAAAATGTCTTTAAATATAATTTTAATAACAAAATGAAATATTTCAATCCTATAATTCTTTGCGAGAATTCAATTATTTTGATAAATAAAATAAATTTCTTGGAAAGAATTCAATTATTTTAAAAATATTAAAATTCTTCTGAAAAATACCTACAATTATTTTTATAAATAAAATAAAATTCTGCGTAGGAATTCAATTATTATTAAAATAATAAAATTCTTTGGAAGAATTAAATTATTTTAAAAATTATTAATAAAATTCTTCGGAAAAATTTAATTATTCTCATAACTAATAAAATTCTTCGCAGAAATTCAATATTTTGCGCGAATATCTATTCGGGCGTGTGGATTCGGGTTTTCGTACGGGAACCTTTTTCAATACAATTTTAATAAAATTTCTCGAAAGGATTTCATTATTTTCAAAAAATTGTATTAAAATTTTTCTAAAGAATTTGAAATTATTCTCAAAAGTTTTAATAAAATATTTTATGAAAATTCAATTATTTGCAGTACAATTTTTATTTAATTTCTTGAAAGAATTCAATTATTACCAAAAAATGTTGATAAAATTCCATAATCAAATTTTTAATTACAATTAATAATAGACGCGATTATTTTGAAAAGCTGATAGAAATTCTTAGTAAAATTCAATTATTTTCAAAATTTTTCAATTAAAATGATTAAAAAACTATTCTTTTCAAAAAATTCAAAGAAATTCTTAGTAAAATTCATTTATTTTCAAATTTTTCAATTAAAATTATTAAAAAACTATTCTTTTCAAAAAATTCAAAGAAATTCTTAGTAAAATTCATTTATTTTTAAATTTTTCAATTAAAATGATTAAAAAACTATTCTTTTAAAAAAATTCATAATTTTAAAAACTTGAAAGAAAATCTTTATAAGTAGAATTCAATTACTTTCAAAATTTTCAATTAAAATTTTTAAAAGAACTCTATTATTTAAAAAGAAATTCAAAGAAATTCTTCAAAACTGTTTAAATTATTTTCATAAGTATAATAATATTTTTTTGAGATTTTAATTATTTGACATACAATTTTAATAAAATTTTTCGAATGAATTCAATTATTTTCAAATTTTTAATTTTTTGTTACGATTCTTCTTAAGAATTAAAGATTATTAATGTAATTTTAATATTCAATTGTATTTTTCTATTTCTTTATTTTTTACTTTTCTGAAATTATAATTTTTATTAATTATGGATTTTTTATTTCTGAATTCTTTAACTTTTTTAAAATTATAATTATTCTAATTAGGAATTTTTATTTCTTCTGATTCTTTATTCTTTAATCTTTCGAAATTATAATCTTTCTAATTAAGAATTTTTACTTCTTCTGATTCTTCATTCTTCAATTTTTCGAAATTACAATTTTTTTAATTAAGAATTTTTTATTTTTATTTACATATTTTTTTATTTATTATTTAGTTTTTGTTTAGTTTTTTGTAGTTTTCTTAGTTATTTTATTTTGTTAAGTTTATTTTTTAGGTTTTTGTTAAAACTTTTAGTTGTTTAGTTTTTTAAAGTTTTTTTTAGTTAAAGTTTTCTTTTTGTTGCTTTTCTTTAGTTCTTTTTTGATTATTTATTTTTTGTTCCATTTTCTTTATTATTGTAAAAGAAGAAAATCCAACCTCCTTGGTCCATGGGCCTTTAACCAATTCGGGATTAACGACTTTGGCCCATCTTTGCTGGCATTGAACGTCACTTCTGTCGGGGAAATGGGCCGAAATAACGTCCCATCGTAAATTCGATCCATGATGATCGGCGTGGCTGACCAATTTTTTCAAAAGAGCATCCTCCTCTTTTGTCCAACGACTTTTACTTATTTGCTTTCCTTGAGGCACGCCATTTGGATTAGTCGCACCAGACGATGAATTTTGCGTCGTCCCTGGATAATTCGATGAATACTCATTTTCTGAATCCTCACCGCAGCTGGACTCATATCCAGATCTCGAACTGTAAGCAAACAATTACATCAAATTATAATTACAGATGATCAAAAATTCCAATTTAATTAAAGACTAAAAAATGCAAATTACTAAAGATTACAAAATGCAATTAATTAAAGACTTAATTAATTACGACTAGAAAATTTTATCGATTAGACTGACTTCTTCTTTAAATTCTTTAATTAGTTAAAATTAATTAAAGAATAATATAGAGAAAAATTTAAAAAATGAGTTATTGTCGAGTTCTGATGAATTATCTCAACTTAACGGAGTGATAATTCCTTTAACGAAAGGAAAAAAGAGACGAGAGGTGAATTAGAGAAAAAAAAATGTTATTCTATTGAAATGCTACGTTTTTGTGTGTCTCTCCTTCTATATCTACATCTTTGAACGAAAATTTGTTTTTGAATCAGGTCACAGGATATTACGGGTGGTTAAACATCCTTCCTGTTCGTCGTCTGATCCCTTTATTGTGATTTTGATCATCTTATACTCTTTTCCTGCGGGGTGGCGTGTAATTCTGTAATGTAACGTGAATCTTCCCTAAGGTTCGGTTCCTCGAGACTCACGAGTATGACCGCATCCTGTCAAAGCTCTCACGAAATCACAAACTTTATATATATTGTCTTTGCTTGAGGGTTTCTTTTTTTAAATTAATTTCCTGTCGTCGTGTCCACTTCTCGTTTTGGGGATACTTTTTTCTTCCCCCCTATAAGTCTTGAAATCATTGACTTCCTTCCGTTAGTACACGAAATTTCCTATATATCTAATTATTACTTTTACTATCTAGATCATTTATCAACTTTTAACGAGTTCGTCGAGTCGTGACTTTTTTTCCTGTATACTTAAAATCTCCTTTTCTTTTATTTCTATTTATTTTGAAGAAACAAAAGTTCCTTTCGAAAATAAAAATTACCTTTTCGGATACTTAATTTATCAAATTATTAATATAGTAATTTTTCACGTTAATCAACGGTCACAAAGTTTATTATTAACGACATAGAAGAATAAAATATTTTTCTAAGTAAATTCGTAAGCAGTTTCGTTTAAATAGAAAAAAAATTTTACTCAACTATTTTAGACAGGAAAATTGTAAATGAAAGAATTTGATTGCTTTTTTTAAGGAAAAATATTTTTTACTCCAATCGTTGAATATAAAAGTTGCGTAAACTTTTTAGAAAATTATTTAGAGGTAATTATTTGGAGAAAAAGAGTAGAAATTTAGAGAGTAAAGAATAGAAGAATAAAGGAATTATTGAGTAAAAAATTTCTTTCACTACAAATTATTAATATTATTGTATTATTTTTCTAATTTCGGAAAAATTCAAATTGGAACAAAAATGAATTTTTTTAGTGCAGATTTATGCTGACATTTCTCCACGTTTGGAAATCAGATTCCATTTTTCTCAGAGTGATACAGGATTCGCAAATGAAACCCAAGGTGATGTTTTCTCTTTCGACGAAAACAACATTTGATAATAAGTTAAGAGAGAGTGAGAGAGTGAGAGAGAAAAGTTGAAACATGCGTGGTAAATTTACATTCCGGAGAATGCATGAAGAATGACGTAATATAGTGTGCGAGACAGTACAACGGATGTGTTGTGATAAAAGTGACAGTTGAATTTGAGTTTATTTGAATTAAACGAAATGTTCCCATTCACTTTTATTCGACACAAGAAAAACATTAGAGACAAACACGAAAGTTCATTGTTCAAATTACATCTCATCGCCATCGTCTAATTCGGTTATGAATATAAAAATATCTATGTATACCTACTACAATAATATTGCGGAAATTGATTTTATAAATTTAAATTCAAAAGAGTAAAAATTATTTTCAATTATTTATTATTTATAATTAAATTTTCTATTAAATTCATTTAATGAATAATTAAGGAAGGTCTAATTCGATTGAATAAAAATACTTTTATAAAGAATTTATTTTCCAAAATAAATTCTCTATTAATTGAATTTTTTTTACAGTTTTTCACTAATTTTAATTGAATTTTCATTAATTCATTAGATAATAAAATTAGTAGAGAATTTTAATTGAATTATTTTGAATATAAATTCAAAATAATTGATTTTTTATTCAACTTTCGTTAATTCATTAATAAATTTAGTAAATAGACAATTTATAATCAAATGAATAAATTAATAAATTTAGTAGAGAATTTATATTCAAAATTTGTGAATTTTTATTTAGATTTGAATGAATTTTCCTTGGAATCTCATAAATTCATTAATAAATTCAGTAGAGAATTAATATTTAAAATAATTGAATTTTTGTTCAATTTTCATTTAATTTTCATTTAATTTTCATTAATTCAATAAATAAAAAATTTAATAGAGAATCTGTATTCAAAATAATTGAATTTTTATTTAGTTTATAATTAATTTTCATTAGTTCATTAATAAATTTAGTAAATAGAGAATTTCTATTCAAAATAATTGAATTTTTATTCAATTTACATTTAATTTTCATTAATTTAATAAAGAAATTGTATTCAAAATAAATGAATTTATATTTTGTGTTTATTGAAATTTCAATTAACTTTTTTTAACACATTGAATAATGTAATAATGAATTCATATTTAAAATAATTTTTCTCAGTCAAATTTATATTTATAAAATCAATTTCCATTTGTAGTCTTTTTTATTTAACCGAATTATACTTTTCTTAATTAATTAATGAATTTAATAGAAAATTAACACGTCATAAACAAATTTTGATTAGGTGATATAAATTTCAATTTTTATAAAATCAATTTCGATTTAAATTTATTTATAAATTATTATGAAAATTAACAAAAAACTAAATAAATATTCAATAATTTTGAATATAAATTCTCTTCTAAATTTATTATCTTATTAATTAATGAAAATTGAATGAAAATTAATTAAAAACTAAATAAAAAATTCAATTTTTTAAAATATAAATTCTCTGAATTGCTCGGATAAATTCAAATACATATTTTTAAATATTTTCATAAATTTTAATTATTTCCTAAAATTCTTTACAGGAATTAAATTATTTTTAATCCAATTTAAATAAAATCACACGAAAGAATTTAATTATTTACAAAAATTTCCATAAAAAATTCAATTTCAACAAGAATTTAAAATTCTCTAAAAATAATTTAATTATTCTCAAAATATTTTGAAAAAATTCTATATAAAAATTAAATTACTTTTAATGCAATTTTTAAATATATTCGTAAAAAAAAAATTGAAAGAATTCAATTATTTTTCAAAAATAATAAAATCCTTGTGATGAATTCAATTATGTTGAATATACTTCATTTTAATAAAATTCTTTAAAGAAATTTAATTATTTTTGAAACAACTTTAATTGAATTTCTCGAAAAAATTTCATTATTTTCAAATATTTCTATCTAATTCTTCATAAGGGAACGTTCATAAACTACGTAGACCAATCTTTTGGAAATTTTAACCCCCTCCCCACGTAGTTTAAAATTTTAATAAATTCTTCGGAAAAATTCAATTTATTATTTTTATAAATAGTACAATTCTTCGCAAGAATTCAATTATTTTCAATACAATTTTAATAAAATTCTTCTCGAGAATTCAATTATTTTACTAAATAATAAAATATTAAATAAAAATTGTTAATTGTTAAAAAATTATGATTAAGAAAAAGGAAATATACCCATGTAAGATATTTTCCCTCGTAAATGGCGATATGACTCTAAACCCCCCTTATTACGTAACGATAAAGGGACATTGTAACGGTGGGCAGTTTGTGGTGAACCTTCGGTCCGATAAGACGTATTATTTTAATAAATCCTGATATCACTTAAGAAGTGTTTTATTTAATTACTCCCCTCACACCCAATTTATGCATAATTTTTATTTCTCAATAAAAAAATTGTTCACAAACTAATTCTTTTCTGTTGGGAAAAAAAACATTGCATATTCAAAGTTTTTTAAAAATAAAAGAAAAAAATATTTATAAATTCTATTTGTCAATTACAGATTTTCTTTGAACATGAAATTGAAAATTTTTGTATTTTTAGAAAATAAAGAAAAAACTTTTACTCAAAAAAATGTTCTGTTACATTTATTTACGAATTTCTTTTAGTGTAAAATTATTCAAAAACATCAAAAACTTCTTTTTTAAAATAAATATTTAATTATTATTATTTTTCTACAGGAATTAAAATATTAAAAAATTTCAAATTCAAACTTTTTTTAAAATAAAACAACTTATAAAAGTATTGTTATTACTCCGAGTCTTCGACTCGGAGCAATCAATTTCTTCATGTTTTCTAATAATTAAAGATGACCCAGTGATAAAATCATTATTTTATATTTTATAAGAATATTGTTGACTGTAACTTCTTCAAAATTATTTTCATCATTTAAATTCAATTATTATTTTCTACAATTTTTAATTATTTTTTATGAAAATAATTGAATTCCTTAAAAAAAATTTATTATTTATGAAAATAATTAAATTATTGCAAAGAAATTTATAAAAAATTTGTAAATAATTCAATTCCTGAGAAATATTTATTATTTATGAAAATAATTAAATGTTTGCGTACAATTTTATTAAAATTTTTTTTAAACAATTTAATTCTTTTTGGGAAAGTTTATTAAAATAGTAGATATTGAAAATCATTGAAATTAGAAGAATGCATTTTATTTTTGAAAATAATTTAAATTAGGACATGAATTTTTTTGACATTTATGAAAATAATTGAACTCTGGAGAAGAATTTTGTTATTTATAAAGATAATTGGGATTTTTACGAGAATTTAAAAAAAAAAATTTGAACACAATTGAATTTTATTACTTTTGAAAATAATTGAATTTCTGCAATTATTTTTAATTTCTGCAAAATTCAATTCTTTTTAATGTTTTCAACAAAAATTTGAATTAAAATTTTTTAAATTCTATTATTTTTAAAGTTGCTAATTTTTATTTAAAAAAGTAAGTAAGAAATTAGCTGCTCGCTTTAGCGCGCGAATTGTTGCTAAATA